TATTTAAATTTATGCAGTATTGACATAATGAGCTTTTTTTGTTGTGTGTATAATAATAAATTACTAATACAAAAATTAGGTCAGAATTACTGGGTTTTTGGACTTTTTGCATTGTCCAGTATTTGAGGGACTAGAAAACACAACATTTTGGAAATTGGATCTGTTTCCACCCTCAGGTGCTGGAGGAAGACACCTACTTAGTTGTGTCCCTCACCTGAGGATGGGAACAGATCCAGTTTCGGAAATGTGTTGTCTAGTCTCTAGAATACTGGAAGATGGAAAAAGTCCAAGAATACAGCAATTCTGAGTGTTATACACCATTGTCAGAACCCTTTAGAATCTACGAAAAATTAGCAGAGTGAGATTAATGAACAATTTGCTCTTTTCTGAACCATTAAAAATATTTGCGATAGTACATGATCTAATTGACAGAACAGTGGAGAGAGTTTTTTTCAAAAATCGGTCCCCTTTCTTTGAGAATTGGGGTTCTTATGGCAGTGACTGTGAAAGGGATTCTGGGGTGTAATATTATGTAGTCTGGTAGAGGTTTACCATCGTTTTGGAGGAATGAGCTACCTCCATCTTCAGGGTCAAAGAGTAAGACTACATTGCCTCCCATCATAGAAGATAGAACTCTTAATTGGCCCCCTTCTATACAAATTATACATCACAAGTAACAGCCTACAACTCCAGTTACTATTAGCACATCTAAACATATGTATTTTCAATATAATAATAATAATAATAATAATAATAATAATACATTATTTTACATTAATAATCACCCCACACTGAACAGTCACAGTTAGGATTGTTTATATTTCTTTGATCTTGTGTTTATGTAATGGCTTTGAATCCCCTTTTCTGAGAGGTGAAGTAACCCATACCAAAACTCATTGTTCTCTTCCTTGTCACGATTTAGTTGGTCATACCATTAAACAATATAAAATGAAGGAAAGGAGAAAGTAGTGATGTTCAACACAAACTCTTTAGTTAGTAGTAACAGATAAAAATAATAATAAATAATAATGGCGTTAGTTGTGTATGGTCTGGCATAAATTAATCTGTGAATCATCAGTTGCCACAGATAACAGATCACAATACAGTAAAATGTGTGTGTTTAATATTTCTCAGTTTAGTCACAACTCCACTCTATTAGCATTCCCCCATATTTAAATTTTTCCTTGGTTTACTGTTAAAATTCGTTGTACTTGAGGGAAACATTAACCATTTAAAGTGCAGAACTCATCTAAAGAATAGATTCTAAAAGGTTCTGATGATGGTGTGCAACATTCAGAATTACTGGCTTTTCAGACTTTGTCCATTGTCCAGTATTGTGAAAAATTGAAAACACACTTCTCAGGTGAGAGGGACAGACTTCTACTGTGATGGGTTCCTTAGAAAGAGTTAACCTCAATCACTGCAAGAACAAATCAGATATTTCATGGTTTTCAACTCCTTTGTAGTCATGTTAGGCCTGGAAGACTTAGGCTTCTCTAACATGGACCTAATCTTCCACCTGAATTGCATGTCCAGAATGTGTGGAAGCTTGGAAACAGTGGATTCCACAGCACATGACATATCCAGGTTGGAGTGTGGATTCATCATCAGAAATTTGAAACCTTCATAAGGGCTGCTTCCTCAGAGTCCACGAGAATATATTTGGAAACATTAAGGATAAATTTCTTAGAAGTCGAAATGGGGGGTAGACAAGACTCTGTTGATTATTGAGAAGGGAGAACTTATGAATATAAATTGCTTTCTGCTTATTAAAGATGTTTCGAAATGAGCTTTCCACAGCAGTGACNTGGATTCATCATCAGAAATTTGAAACCTTCATAAGGGCTGCTTCCTCAGAGTCCATGAGAATATATTTGGAAACATTAAGGATAAATTTCTTAGAAGTCGAAATGGGGATTAGACAAGACTCTGTTCTCTTGATTATTGAGAAGGGAGAACTTATGAATATAAATTGCTTTTTGCTTATTAAAGATGTTTCGAAATGAGCTTTCCACAGCAGTGACGATATGCCATTGGCTGGAATTATTCACAGATCACTTGAGAAAATTCTCCAGATGTTGGATCTTCTGGAGTTGGGATGCCTTATTGTGCCAATGAAAGTGCATCCTATCCCTGAAAAGTGCCTGACTGGCACGGACAATTTTGGAACAGTTTTGACTAGTGATGGGGGTCTTTACAGAGAAGCCTTTGAGGATGATACTCTGAGATTTGCATCTCATGAGGAGTGTTATGTGATTGAGGGGTTTTTTTCCCTTGGCACTACAGCCCAAGTGGGCCTAGGCCTACCTCCATGAACGGAGGTTCACTTCGGTTTTTCTAGATCTTACACATTCTGAAGGACTCCTTGGGCGGGTGATCAGCTCATCACAAGGCCTCTACCTATACACAATCACAGAAAAACGCACACACACAAGCTAAACATCCATGCCCTGAGTGGGATTTGAACCCACGATCCCGGTTTCCAAGCGAACGAAGACAGTACATGCCTTAGACCGCTCGACTACCATGACTGGCGATTGAGGGTTTTAGCTAACTGAATTTATTGGCATTCTACTTTTCCTAAAGGAAGGGTATATATTGGGTCCATAATGATTCTACAAGAAGATTCTAAATGGTTCTGACGATGGCGTATAACACTCAGAGTTACTGGGTTTTTGGATTTTGTGCATTGTCCGGTAGGATTTTGGAAATTGAAAGTCACAGTAGGTATAGGAACTACGAGAAATCAGCCTATGTGGCATGCTCAATCAGTCTGATCAGCCAACCCAGTTTGGACATTATCCGTTCTGGATCCATATTATCAGTTACGAGTTTACCATCTCAGAGAAGATCTGTATGATGTGACAGATTCTATTAGGTTTTAATCTTGAATGTTCAGGTTTTACTGTATAGATGGTGCTAGCAGTGAAAGTTGGTAGAGTGGTACCTGTGCTTAACTAATTTAGCACTGTGCCATGAAGGCACATGGGGGAGTGGATGTATAGATCCACATTTTCTTGACCTCGGCTCTAGCTGGAGGTGAGTGGTCAGCTTCACGCTCCAGTTGCTTTACCCCCTGGGAAAGAGCCCCCAGTATCCATTGGATAGGAGGTTGGGTGGGCCCCAGGGCTAGTCTGGATGATGTGGAGGCAAGAAAATTCTTGACCCTACTTTGACTTGAACTCCGACCCCTCTGTCATCCAGGCCATAGCTAGTCGCTATACCGACTGCTGTCCTGGCTCCATGGTACAATTATATTTTAAATAATTCTTGAAAACTCTGCTGCCCCCCTTAAAGAAGATAGAGAGAGAGTCTGAGGGATCATATGCTATCATACTGTCCTGTAGCATGTCACATCAAATGGAAAGCAGTAGGCACTATATATTTTCCACTTTCTTTATTTAATTGTATGCATTGGTGTTCATGTACTTGGTTTGTTGGGTAGGTTTATAGCATAAATTTTACCCACCCCCCCTTCTATCCTAGTTACACAAATGTGCATGCTTCATCACAGTTTTTATTGCATATTTTCCTGTTCTATCCTTTCGACATAGTCTGGTCTCAGGTATTTAAACAGCTGTAGTGACTCTGACATTGGTTGTCCAGTGATTGAGGTTAGCTCTTTCCAAGGGACCCAAAAGAGTATGGTGTCTTTCCCCCTCACCTTAGGGTGGAAACAGATCCAGTTTCCAACATGTGTTTTGTACTTTTTATAATACCAGAGGAGGGACAATGTCTGAAAATCCTGTAATTCTGAGTCCTCTAACTGATGCTTAAAGTTAGGTCCCTACTGCTAAGGAAATACTGGTTGGTGGTATAATCATAAATGTTTTAATTGTGTTTAAGAAATGCTTGAAGATATTCTGTGAATGACCTACCAAAGTTATACACATTACTGTAGATGGTACACGTAGTTACAGTATTCTGTAAATGCATAAATTAGAATTTCAGTACATGGACAAAGATTAGTGCAGTTCATAATTCTGTCTAATAAGTTTCTTTGTCCATCATCATTATGCTTAAGGAACATTAAAATTGTAAGTGCACAAGATACAAATAATATTTATGTAACTTCTCTCATTTATTACCTGCAACAGTTGCCATGACTTCTGATCACAGTAAAGTATAAAGTGTTCTCAGTTCATCAGTCAGTAGATGTGGCAGTGTTGCAGCCTGAATTTGGAAGATATTTGCAGCTCATTCCATGGTTTTTTGTATAGTAGGCTATTTGGCAGCATTTATCTGTCCATAAAATAGAGAGAATGTCATTGTCTTTTATATTCCCCAGCTGTTGCAGTTATGGAAGTCACTAGAATTACATTGAAAATACAAAGGTATTACAATGATTAAATCAAGGAGGGTGAAATATGTGAGAGATATATAGGATGTATGAGGGAAATGCATATAATATTGTAGTTCCAAATCTTCAGGGGAAGAGACCACTTGGAAGACTTGACATAGGCTGGAGGATATTTTTAAAATAGGTCTTAGAGGAGTAAGTGTGCCATTATGGACCAGATTTGCCTGGCTTAGGATAGGGTACAGTTGCAAGCTTTTTGAACATGATAATGAACCTTAGGGTTTTGTAAAAATAGGATAATTTCTTGACTAGCTGAATGGATTTCAACTTTTATAGAAATCTCCACCCACACCTTGGAGACAGCTGGTCAGACTACAGTTGGAACTGTAGGCCTATATAAATTTATGTGTTCACACGTTTCAGACTGGGTTTAAGATGGAAACGAATGAACGTTGATACTGGATTAGTATCCTCAATGCTCTTTTTTCTCTCCGCCCAAAAATATATCTGCTGGTAATCAAATGCTCAGTTTTAACCATAAGATCAAAACATACAGTATGCTGTTGGATCTGTGACTTCTGACAAGTTATGCATCAGCTGTTTGCCAATATGCATACTGTCACATACTGGCTGAAAAGAGAGCAGGAATTATACAGTTTCAACCAGAGCCCTTAAAATCATGTTCTCTCCATTGTTACAGAGAAGACAGTGAGATTCTTGGTTCACACTTGCTGATTCATGGAGTGAGAAAAGAAGACTTCGGACAGTATACATGTCAGATTAGTAACACTTGGTTTCAGTCTGTTGACACGTCTGTGTGGCTCAGAGAGATTGGTAAGGAGGGGTTATGAAAACCATAACTGTACAGTAGGTGTAATGTTAAGCTGCTTCTTTAGCACAACTCCTTTTAAATTTAAAATATTAAGTATGATGTAATTATAGTTTATTTCTTGCTTTGTATGTCTGTTCCATAAAATGTGAAGTGATCATTTAAAAATATTTCCCTTCAAATGGTGAGCATTGTAAAGAGGCTGTGAATCATGTGACTTGAATCTTTAATTTTTTAAATATACACGTAATACCCATTCCTTACACAACACATGGTTGTTTACATGAGCAGTATCACAATATACTGTCACTAAAACCTTAAGGATGGAATAACAGTCTTTTACTTTATTTGTTCTTAATTGAAATCTGGTTCATTCATTCATTCATTTTCCATATATCCATACAGGCAAAAAACCTAAGATGTGGAAATAGTCCCTTTGATAATAGATGTAAACATGTAATAAATTACATAAGCCACACAACTAAAATAATACACGCACTAGTCAAGTAACATAGGCAATAGAAAAAACAAAAACAAGAAGCTTATTACAATTGTAATTACTAAACATAATTTAAAAAGTGCATTACTATAAAAACTTAAAATTAATACAATTTTACTCAGATTACCCAAATAATTAAATGCTTTATTTATTTCACTTTCCCATAAATCAAAAAACATTGATACAGGACTCGTCATATACATACATACACATCCTCCACTTTCCATAAACATCTATACAGGGAACAGACCCAGGATGTGGAAATAGTCATCAGACACATACACAAAGTAACACAAACCACACAACCAAGATCACCCACATTAACTGTCTAACACATGCAACAATATGAGGCAAAAAGATAATATCCTGATTAACAGACATAAGTCACTAGTAACCACAATACAACCCCTCACATCTCCCATACTAACCATATTAAAATGTGATGTTAAGCATTCAAATTTATGTACATTTGTAATTAAAATACTCATTTAATGCATAAAAAGAGTTAGCATGTAAAAATCTTTTTAGGGCACATTCAAAGGATTTCTGGTTATTAGATAATTGTTTCAGCTCTTTAGGCAGATGATTGAAGATGATATGTTAGTATCTTAATGTAAGATGCAACACATCTATATCCTTGTCATTGTGACTACACTTAATAACCTGTTACACATTTCTAATGCAATATTGTAATCATCAACCCAGGCACTCAGAATTTTCATCAGTAACACACAGATCTTAGTAACAATCCCATTTTTGGGAAATAACTATGCTTGGTCTCAAACTCATGAATGTAGTAGCAAAATTAACAGTTTCCCAAGGGTTGTCTCACCAAGATGAACATCTTTCTTCTATACCACATTTTTCTGTGATGCGCCATTTTGGAGAAAGAAGTTGGGACTTATTGTTGTCATGATCAATTGTTATCACAGTCTCTCTCAATCCCATTCCTGTCATGATCCCATTGTTCTCACAATCCCAGTGCCTTTCTTTGTTGCAGCATTTGAAAATTTCTAAGAACAGACAACTTTCTTTATGTATGTGTTTTCTTTGTTTTTGATGGGTGAATCGAATATTTCATAATGCTTTTCATCAAATATATATGTTATATAGCATTGTATGTTGTAATAGTTGAGAAAGTTAAGTTACAGAGGATGAAGATGTAAGTGATTGTGGCCTGTTTTATTATTATACTTAGTGGGGAGAGACTGAGTCCAGTTGGTACTGCAGCCACAACTGTCCTTGGCCTGATGTAAGAAACTGTCCTGTCAGTTACCTGGAGGGAGTGAAAAACACCAAGAAAGGTTGCAGTCAGAATAGTCAGTTTCTGAGCCAAGATTCAAACCTAGTGATTCATAAATAAAAGACAGGAGTGCTAACCACTCAACTATGATGTTTGTTTACTTTTAATTTAAAGAATAGAAAAGCCCTTTACATGCCCAGGTGTGAGGGCTAGATGGAAGTAAGAAGTGGCATTCACTCTGCTGCCATCTTTGCTTCCAGATGGCCCTGATTTGTAAGTGGTATTCCAAATGTAGTAAATGTAAAGGCCCTTCTGTGCCATGTGAAAGGTGTGCTTTGATGTAAAGTTCCAGCCATCTTAACCTTGGCATATATAAAGGTGAGTGGTGAGCTTCACTGTCGGGCTGCTATACCCTCAGAGAAATGCTCCCTGGTACATGTTGGATGGCAGTTTGTGTAGGCTCCACATGCAGTCTGGAAGAGATGGTAAAGTGAAAAACGCTCTCCCTGCAAGGAGTTGAATTTTAGTCATTCAGCCTGTAGCCAGTCCTCAGTTTCAAGTATCTAGAGTTCATTTAGAAATGTGTAGATAAGTCATGCATCTTTCCTTCTTCCTAAGAAAATTAATAACTGCTTATTAACCAGTTCCATTATCAGGGTCTTCCCTAATTAATGTTTAATTAATCAATGAACATTTTTGCTAATAGTAGCAGATTGAATGTACAATTACATAATGAATTTTAAGAGAGGTATGCTTGTGATTATAGTGCCGTACCATGATGAGATCCAAGAGAAGTCAGCATACAGGCAGATCTTGCTGGTATTTGCAGTAATCATCCTTTCATCTCTTACATTAGTTGCTCTCTACTTGCGCTTTGGATTGCAGGTTCGAGTTATCTGGAAAGACTCCTTCTGTAAGCAAGAAACTAATGGTGAGTTAATGTTATACACTAGACATGATGAAACTAGCTCGCTGGCCTCATACAGCTCTTTTGAACCATTAATGTAGCTTGCAGAAAAGAAAATGAAGTCAGTCCCATTCTTACAGTGGATTAAGCATAAAGAATCTGGCTGATGGGAAAGCATGTAACTAAACACCCATGCTGTCTAAACCATGCCTGTTTGTGGGTTGTGGGCTTCTTAGCATTGTTATATCTGGCTCAGATGTTGTTCTCTTAAAAATTAAAAGACTAGCGCTTTTGGAACATGTTTCTTGTTTGTATCTGCTTGTAAGATTATAATGTACTTCCTTCCGTGCTTTGCTACTCAAGAATTTCCCAGCATTTTATGGAACCCGAAGGTTCATTACCATGTTCACAAGAGCCCTCCACTGGTCCCTATTCTGAGCCTGATCAATGCAATCCACACCATCCCATCCTCTCTCTCTTAAGATCCATTTTAATATTGACCACCCACCTACACCTTGGTCTTTCCAGTGGTCTCTTTCCTTCTGGCTTTCCCAGCAATATCCTATACACATTCCTCGTCTCACCCATTCATGCTACATGCCCTGACCACCTCATCCTCCTTGACTTGATCATTCTAATTATACTTGGAGAAGAGTACAATTTATGAAGCTCCTCATTATGCAGTTTTCTCCAACCTCCTGTCACTACATCTCTCTGCGGTCCAAATATTCTCCTCCACCCTGTTCTCAAACACCCTCAGTCTACATTCCTCCCTTAATGTCAGAGACCGGGTTTCACACCCATAAAGAACCAGAGGCAAAATTATAGTTTTTATATTCTAATTTTTATGTTTTTGGACAGCAGACGAGAAGACAAAGGTTATGGACTGAATGGTAGCAAGCATTACCCAAGTTCAATCTCCTCTTAGTTAGGTGGGTCCCTTGTTACCACAGCATGGCACATCCTCAAGTTGTGGATGCAGGAGATGCCCTCCAGTTTTGGAGGGAAGCTGTGACTATATTGAATAAGCAGTCGCGGACAGCCGACAAGGGGTGGTCCTCCAGCTTGGGGGTTTCGCATGGGGCTAACAACTGCTCACTATAAAAAATAAGTATTGTCACGTGTTTGGTATGTCACGTGACAAATAACTTCACGTAGCCTTCGGATTCAACGAATATTTATTCTCCTTCTCTTTTACACTTATACACTATTTATACTGTCACAGTCAATCCTTCTGCTGTGGTCACTCCTCAACTTCACTCGGCGAATGCTCGACTTCAGCTGTCTCATTAGTACGTGTCTACCTAGTTCTGCTTCCAACTCTATTATATAGGCGTTATGCAGACCTAATACCAGACACCATTTCTCATTGTTCCATTTCTGCTGTCTCGATAGTCCGCTGTTACCCAACGAACCTTCTGTTGTTCAGAAGTAGGTGTTTCAGAGTAAACAAAAGAGTGTGGGGAAAGGAAGAGAGATAATCAACACACACATGGAGGACATTATTTAGACATATCACTTAGGTGATTAAGCTCAGTGACTTTTTTTTTAATGCTGTATACTGCCCAGTGCAGCAGTGGGCTTACTAAATGAAAGAATTGCTCCTGATTTTTTATGTTTCCTATCACCAGCTTCTGCATGTTTCCCCGTTGTGAACTAATAGTTTTAGGCGTTAAATGTAGCTAAATTAAAAAAAGAATCGCCCTGGAAATAAGCATACAAGTAATATCTATGGCTGTACCCTGTACATGTAGTACCTTTCAGATTTTTCAGATGCATGTCCTTTTTTCTTATCACAAGGTAAAAAGTAAAGTTGCCCCTTTGCTTAATTAGTTAAGCACTATGCCATGAAGACATATTTTGGAATGGAGGTATAGATCCCCCGTTCTTAACTCCAGTACTGGATGGAGATGAGTGGTCAGCTTCATGCCCAGGCCACTTTACCCCTGGTGAAATCGCCCTCAGTCAGTATCCATTGGATAGGAGACTGGGACCCACAGCCGTTCTGGAAGCTGTGGAGAAGAGAAAAATCTTGCCATGCCAGGAATCAGACCCAGGTCATCCATCCTGCAGCCTGTCATTGTACTGACTGAGCTATCTTGACTCCCATGTTGCATGAGGAGACTGTAAATTGTATATGAGTATAGTTTACTATACCTTAATGCTGAAATGTAATATTGTCCAAAATTTACTGATAATTTGTCATGCATTTTTCAGACCTCTAAATTGGTTGCCAATCCTTGTCGCATTGAGATTATTTATTGTTCAATTCTTATACAAAAATAACGTCAAAATTTTAAAATCAATTAGATGTTGTAAAATACAGCTGTTTGTGAAGGTGTAATTTATGTTTCAGTGTAAATTCACCATCTGTATCATTCATTATGAACTTAGTCACTCAGCTGGCCAAGGAATTTCCAGCTTATATAGAACACAAAATTCATTACCTGGTTTACAAGAACCCTCCAATGGACTTTATACTGAGTCAAAATATTTATCCTTCTCCTTTGTTAAATGTTCATTTGCTGGTCCAATAAGTGAGACTGTCTCTCTGTAATGGGCCCATTGAAGTAGGAACCATTCTCCCCCACCTCATGATGGAAACAGAACCAGTGTCCAAATGTAGATTGAAGAAAACTCAAGATGATAGACAAAGCCCCAAATAATAATATAGTTATGAACTAACAAACACCATGAAGCTGAACCATTCTCTAGAAGCCGTCAGTTTCTGAGCAGCTCAAGCATTTCCCAACATTTTATGGAACCCAAAGGTTCAGTACCTTGTTTCCAGGAGCCCACCACTGGTCCCTATCCTGAGCCAGATCAAAGTCTAGTTATGACTGCTGGAAAATATTTCAAATGGAAGTTGTAGCTATTAACCAGATCTGTATATTATGTAATGTACAAATATGTTGAATGGTGAACAATTCCTGAGCAGTGCAATAATTTTATTTTGCTTCATCTACATCAAGAGGTGTTTTGTTGAAATCCCTGTAGTCATTTCTAAGACATGAACATGTAAATGGTTTAACAGACAGACAGAAAATATATTATATGTAAGCATGCTGTTGCATTCTACTCTTCTATATGTATAATATAAATACTGCTGATTTAAATTTTAAAACATTCTAAATTTTAAATTTAAATTGACGAGCGTATATTAACAGAGATTTTAAACATAACTGACAAAATCAGCAAGGGGATTCTGGTATATTGTGATCTATTGAAACACAGCAATGACAATTGAGAAAGCTGGTGTTTTTAAATTTTAAATTATATGCAGTGTGACAGCTACTTAAGTGAAATACACCTGATGATGGCCAATTACGGCCGAAACGTAGCGTTAAAGAAGAAAGACAAAGAACTACAATAAATTGTTGCATTTACAACGGTATTTATATTATACATATAGACAGAAAATACCTCACCACCAAGTGTTTAATTTATGCAAATTGTGCAAAGGATACATAAAAAGCATCCCTTTACAAGGCCTGAAAGTATATATAATAATTTATAATATCTGTTTCAGATGGAAAGGACTATGATGTCCTCATATGTTATGATGACAAGGACTCAGACTTTGTGCTGGGTGTTTTAGTGCCAACTCTTGAGACACGTTATGATTATCGCTGCATCACACATAGTCTTGGATCTGTTGGTGGAAACTTTGGGTCAACATGTAAGTCAACTTAATACTTCATATTAAGAAGAGGAAGAATAAATGTATACAAAGTGGAGCAGTTCATGGCATAGGCAGTTCTATTATGTGAAAGATGTGTACAGATCTTCCAAAACTTACTTTTGACATTTTTCATTAATGTTTTGAAACCACTGAATAATTCAGTTGTCATTCGTTTACAGTTCAGTACTTTATAATGCATTACTGCTATTTTGACAAGCAAGTAAGAGGTTGTGTAGTTAAGCCACAGAAACTCTAATCATGAGATAATTTGATATATCAATATTACCTCTGTGTCAGTCTTAAAGCATCACAATTTTCATGAGGAACTATAGAAGGTTTAGTGACAGTAACCTTGGTAATATCCAACAGGGCCAACTGTGCTTAATGGACCTGCCCAGCGTAGCCGTCGTCTCTTGGCTGTATTGTCTCCTTCACTGCTACATGATAGTTGGACAAATATTGCTCTCTACCAGGCTCTTCATACCTTATTAACCATCCATTCCAGGATTATTTGTGTAACACTGCAGGTATATATGTCAGACATCACTGTGTGTATCAGAGTTGATGTTGTCACCAACATAAAATGACAAATATTTTTCTCTTTAAGAGTTCACATCTTCCCATTTCTTTCCTTTATTTGTTTATTTAATTTTTGGTTATATTGAAAATACTGTGTAATACTATATATAAATTTATATTGCTAAGGAGCACATCATCAGCTCCATGCCTGATGAGGAATGGTGTAGAATTCTGATGACATGAAATTCTGATTAGTCTGTGTTCCAAATGCTCCAAAAAAAAAAAAAAAACCAGTTGTACTGTTACAGAAGTTTTCTACTCTAATAGACTGATTTGTTTGTGGGGGTGGGGTCAGGGGGAGCAAGAAAAATATCCTGAGAAATGCAAAGAGAAACATAACAATTGTGCTTAACTGTAACCTTGAACCATGAAGATGCAGTCAGTTGAATTACACTTAATGTCAGGTAATTTTTCAGGTCAGGAGAAGCCCAGTGTAGCATGCATTTTAATGTATTTAGTGGTCATGAAATCAGCCAGCTTTTAGTGCAGGTTGTCATATAATTAACACAATTCCTTTTTAACAGAATTTAAATTTCTGTGGAAAATTACTTTTGCCATAAATCATCAGGTAGGGGTTTAATTAATTATACCATTGTTCAAATGATCAGTCTGACTCAGGATGCAGTAAATTATCAAACTACCCCAGAACTTGGACTTCCTGATCTTTCTCAGTGATCTTATTCCAGTGGTAATTCTTATATGATTGCAGTGCACTGTCCATTTACAGAACACAAGGGTTAAGAAGATATTTGAAGGAAATGGAGCTGAATTAACTGATGCATAATAGGATACTCCACAATTCATGCTTTTTTCTTATTATATAATAATAAACAATTTCAGTAATGGAGAATGAAATGGGTTGATTGTTTCGAACACAAAGGAGAAACCTGCAAAAATCTTATAGGCAATCCAAGAACTGATCACAAATGCCTGTGCCAGGATTTGTCTGTAAGGTGGAGGGAGGGAAGTTGAAGAGGGTTGGGTTGTCCATAGCAGTGAGTGAAGGGATGACAAATGTCCTTGTCTCAATTTTTTTTTACCATTTTTCTGAAAACAATGTTACACAAAATCCTATGGGAAAAATTTAGTTATTTAAACTAGTTAGCAGACTGTAATCATTCTTAACTGATCCAACAAGGATCATAATGAGGTTATTGTTTTTGGATTGGACTGCTGTGACTCACTGGGCTGGATTGTACATGTGTAGGCTGGCTCACAATTGACCCCTTACAAAAGCACATTTTGGATGAGTTCATTTTCAAGTACCGAAATGTGTTTCTGAACATCTTCCATGAGCTGCTGGTTATGCTTTACATGTTGGAGGACCACACTGAAATAGACGTTGGAGGAAAAGGAGACAGTGATATGAACAGGGATGAGCTGATTTGGAATAGGAAACAGTAGTTACTGAAATGAACAAAAAAAAAATAGTGATTATTGTAATTATCTGCAGAAACATTCATTGTTCCATAATTTCAGTCTTTTGTTAAGAAAGATGAAATAGTATCCTATGATTTATTCTTATTAAATAGGAAATGTTAATAATTAAATTGTTATGAATTTAGAGTTATGTAATTAATGTGTTGATTTTCTGCAGCCCCTGCCAAAATGTGATTCAGCAAAGACTGCACAAGGTGAGAACCTTCTTCCTCTGCTGCATGCTGTTTCCTTGGTGGAGTGGAGGCCTGATGGATATTGTATCGGAATGGGAGATAGAAGTCGAGCACACAAGAGGTTCTGGGCCTCATTACGCCTTCATCTGCCCCCATACAGGCATAGTAGGCAGGCACTTAGTCCCAAGCAGGTCAGTTTTTCAGTTGTTATTGCTGCTTTCCATATTTCATAACAAAAGGCAGGCTTATGGTATCAGCTCATTCGTGTATCTTCCTGTCACACAGTAACTTTGCAATTTTTTTATATATCTCCCTGAAACTTGATGTGAACGTGCCACTAGAACCCATCTCATCATTGTCCTACCCAAATTTCTGTCAGTAATTTCAACTTGGTGACCATGCAAACATCCGAGTTGAGCGAGATACTTTTGCCATTCAGCCATTTTCCTAAGTAACTAACTCCCTGGATCTGAGTCCTTGGAAAGCTGTGAGTTGTCATACCAGATTTAAAGACGTGTAATTCTTTATGGCCCAATTTTAGTGATAGTATTTAATTAAAATTGTGTCCATTTTTCTAAAAATTTAATTCTATCTGAAATTATCAACGATAGAACTAGAGAATTAAATATGTTAAAGTAACAAAACATAAATCACCCCATTGCAAAAATTTCGTTTCTGTAGTATGTTTTATGCAAGAGACCTGGTTACAAACTTGCTATAAGATTAAGAATTCAAAATAGCAGGTAAAAGAAATGGCAAAACTATCCCTGTAACAGGCTATGGAGACCCATAGGGTTGTGAGATGTTGAAGCTCCCACATTTTCTAGATAGTCAGCTCACAGATGGTGGTGAGGTCATCAAGCCCTATGTGCTGGCCACCCTTTAACCCCCCTGGAAGATTCCTGGTACTAATTTCTGTTGAGTTGACCCCAGGGCCATAGTGAGGCTGAAAGGATTAGGTCAATTGAAAAAAATCCAGTGAATTCATCAGGAATCTAACCCGTGACCTTCCGGCTTGTAGCAGAGTCCCTTAACCAAATATACTAAAACATGCCCCTTCACAATAGCAGGTGTCACCAATGTAGTGGCTTGACAGATTTAGTTTAATGCAGTAATCACTAAAGCAGGAGATAGTACTTAGGCTGATGTAACATTTCTCACACTTAACCTTTGTTGTGCATGTGAAAGAGGCAGTGCTGCAGTTTCTTTTATCTAGGTGGTCATTTCTTATTGCTGCTGGATTCTACAAAGTTTATGTTTGTTGTAGCATCACAGCATATTGATTAGGTGTTTGTCATTCTTTAGCTTGGTTACAGAATACACGTTCTATAGAAGTCCTGAGCAGTTTCAGATTTCATAACATTTTCATGCTTGTGACAGAAATTTTGATTTTACGGTGGATGTTCGATCACTCGTATTTATGGATTATATGGGAATGTTGTCTGTAGCTCATAATCTAAAGCAGGGGTCTCCAAACTTTTTGAACCACGGGCCACATTAGGTAATTCAGCACTTTCAACAGACCGGATAAAATGAGAAATTAATAACTCTAGGTATATGAGTTTTATTGAGAGCACAGAATTTCATAAACTAAATACAAAGTATATGAGAATAAATTTTCATATATTAATGACAACAGACAGTAGCAGCAAATGATCATATTTTCATCACAAATTATAATAAAACAATTAACGTGAATGATGGAACTCTTTTTGCATTCTTAAAATCTGATTAAATTGAGGTTCAAATTTTGAAACGCTAATCGCAAGCAGCGACTTTAAATGTTCATCGGATAAATTTACCCTGTATTTTGACTTATGTACTTCATCTGGGAAAAAGTTTGTTCGCACAGATATGTCGTCCCAAAAATGGAGATAAATTTACAAGCAAATTTCTTTAAATTTGGAAATTGCTCAGAGTTCAGAAATTTATAAAATTCGATCAAATTTCCTTCCTTGTATTTGTCTTTAATATGATAATTTTCCTGAAGTTCAATAATTTCCATTTGAATTTGACTTTGGACATCTGCAGCATCACAGTCAAATGGATTTTGAAACAATCTAATTTCCTAAGCACTGGAATCCAAATCAGCTAATCGCTTCCAAAATTGTTCTTTCAAATCTGAAATGACTAAATTTTCAAACGAGGAAGGAAATTCTGCTTCACCCTTTTTATGCAACTCTGCACAGTATAGCATATGAACAAAGTTACAATTTTTCACTTGGCTTTCCAGCAGTATCAACTTCACTCTGAATGCTTTGACAAGTGCAAATAAATCAGACTAAGTTATTTTCGTCCTACAACTTTAAATTCAAATGGTTCATATGGTTCACCAGATCAGCAAAGCATGCTAATTTCCAAAGCCACTCGGTATCTGATAAAAGTGTTTCGTGATGGTCTTTCTCGGTAAGAAATATATCAATTTCATTCCTGAGCTGAAAGAAGCATGGAAGAACCTTTCCACAGCTAAGCCATCGAACTGCAATATAATATGTCAGGTCAATAAGCTCAGAATCACATTTACCAGTACTCACTGGAAAATCAGTTCAATTGGCGCATTTCTGCACAATTCTTTCGCAGGCTGGATAAAATCACATCGCGGGCCGCAGTTTGTAGACCCTTGATCTAAAGCATGGACATGTAAGGTGATTTCTGAATGAATGCTGGAATGGATCTGGTAGGAACTTGTTATGGGCTGATTTTAGGTATTATCGCACTATTTTCCTGGAGGGACTGAGGAGAAAACTGAAGACTACCATAGTCAGAATAGTAACTATCAAATTGAGATTCAAACAGATTCATTCATTCATTCATTCATTCATTCTTTCATTCATTCATTTCATTTCCATAAATCCATACAGAAACAAGTTCCATGAGATGTGGAAATAGTCAAGTTTGAATCTTAACATAGATACAATAAAAACATAGAAAAACAAGTTATAGAAATAAATTCAAGAATACATAAATTAATATAATTACATTTCAAAATAACAATTAGTATATAGTAAGCAATCATATTTCTGCCAAGGCCCTTTATATATATTGTTATGTTAATTGTAATAATAAGTGAACAATTAATAATTACTTTAGCAAAATAAAATCATCTATTAAAAAATTCAGCAAGTGTGTAGAAGGAATTATTACTCAAAAAGTCCTTCAGTTTGACTTTAAATTGATTAGGTATGGAAGCAATTTCTTTAAGATTATAAGGGAGTGCATTAAAGACCTTCACCGCCATGTGCGACACGCCCCTACCATATACAGCCAGATTCACCTGGTTCATATGTAGATCCATGACCTCCTGAATGCAAGTCAGAAATGTTACAGCTTGTGTCAGCTTGGTCTGTAGGGCACAACAGTAATTTTTGTCCTTTGGTAGATGTCTGCTATGTGTCCTGTTGAGATTAAAGTCAATCACCTCTTGAATACAAGCTGGACAAGTTATGTTTGAGCCTCATTTCTTTGTGTGTTGCCTAATAATCAGGATATAAATGTCCCTTTGTTTCCAAACTGGCCATCATGTCACGCTTAGTCCAGAAGTGAGCCAGACACTCCTTTCATCCATGAAATGTTTTGCTTCTCCACACTTCTGTGGAACCTATCACTTTTCTACCTTTGCTCATTTCTACCCTGAAGATGACAGCATTGTGTTACAAAAGAGCAGAAATATACACACAAAGTTTATGTGAAACTTTTTTTACATTAAAAATTACAAATCTGTTGACGATGTGATTTTGAGATAATATCTGGCAAATTTTGGAGATTTGTGCTAGTGGAAATTGTGCACAGAAATGGACCACTAAATAATACAATCTTATAATTATGTAATACATATTTCATGCCGGCCTCACTTTACAAATTGAAGAATGTGAGAGACATTAAGCACTTTAAATTCGTCCCAGAATTCATTATTACCATTAGGAACACATTCATCTAAATACAGGAAGAGTAATCACATAAGGAAGCACCCCCAGATGGTTGATAAGTAATATTAGAATTGGTTTCTTTTATTAGGAGCTGAACCAGATGTCATTGGCAACTACTGGCAGTGGAGTCAATGCATGTACTGCCATTGGAACCAGCAAACGAGGAACACTGCTTACAAATTCACAAGAGAGCTTGGAAGTTCTTGTTTGAAAGATCATCATTTCACGGAGGTGATTGGGCCAGTATATCTTTTCTTCCTTTTTGTTAATTCTTTGGCAACAAGCCATAAAAAACGAGTTATTTTTAAAGAGAGACTTTCACAATTTGTAATAAAATACATTTCAGACTGTGTCAAATATATAAATGTTTTAGCTCCTGTGTTATTCAAAGAACAACTTCAGTGTGGGGAAATTTAATATTTAAGACCTTGAACTTTACATATACTGGAGGCATACCTGTAGATCCCGCATTCTCAAATTAACGTAATTGATGCTTTTTATTTCATTTTCTTGATTTGAAATTCTGAATTGACAGTGAAATTTCTACTTATATTTTTACAATTTTTAAAGGGCATATATTTTAATTATAATTAAAGGACAGCAGTTACATTCATTGATCTTTGCAGTATGCACATACTATTCTAGCTGCGCCCTAGACATCCATTCCACTTGTAAGTAAATAAGAATGCTGCAGGACTTGTAAATTTGAATATTTTGTTACTTCTTGAAGGAACTATAGTTGCATGTAAACCCTTACAGATTTGCAAGAGTGTATTTCACTATTTCATATTGGCCCTAAAACTGTATAAAACGTAAGGACATTTCATTTTTATGTTGTGATACAGTTAAGATGCCCAACCATCTAATGTGCAAAATGAGAATTTTCATAAAAAGTATGGAAAAAGAAATAGATGGTGGCACATTGAAAAGAGACAAACACATAATTCCCAAAGTATGTTAACCACATTCATCTTCAGGCAGGACTACTAAAATAATTTATGTGCAATTATATACTTCTTTTTCACCATAATGTGACATAATTTGAAAATTATTTTCAGTAATACTTCTTTAATGTAACTATGAATATTTTTCTGTCTCAGTTGGCTCTTCTTTATGACTGATGTACAGTTCAGTAAGTTTAATATTACTTCAGTTCTGTTTGAATGCTGAAGTTAATGAACATTTCGAAATGCTAGCTGTAAACACTTGCATGTAAACAGTGAGACACATGTGTTGAGTCCTTGAGGATGAGCCTTTTTTTTTTTCCTCAACCAAAGAGAGTATTACAGCTATGTCGTGTAGCAATGGCTTTATAATTCCTGAAGTTTCAGTGTTGTAACATTTGCTACTTATCTTATGATAAAATTTTATCAATAATGTATATTGAAGTTTCACCTATAGCACAGAAATTTCACTGAAGCTCGAAGTGGGAGAATTCTGTCCTCAGTCTACAGCATTCATTCAGTCACAGAAGTAGAAGACAGATAAGAACTAGTATTGTTCTTAACAACGTTTTTGCTTAGATTGACATTGTCAGCATTATAGTGTAAATATATAGATTAATTTCATGTCTACTGAAAGAATAAAAATGACATGTTATCATTCTGTCACATTACTTTAAACTGAAGATAAATTACTTTTTTATAAAATATCGTTATATTCCATCACAAAATTGGGCTGTTACATATATTTAGCCTCTAAGGTTATGTTATATAGTAGTTTTCTGATATGTTGCATATTCACCTGTTATGAAATTGAAGGTCCCAGTTTCAGACATTTAATGTGCTGCACTGAACAGAATCACACTTTTCTTTATCATTTGTACATGACATTTTCAGTCATTGATATGAGACTAGAAAATGATATAATGTTTCAAAGAATGATAGCTTTAAAAAAATCCCTTACATAGTGCCAATAAACAAAATTGAACATCATGACTACCACTAGTTTGTGAACTATCATCAGGTTACTTATCTGAAGTGTCTGAAAATACAATGGCAGAAAATATTGCAACAGTTCTTTCTTTGTTCAGCCTTGCACTGTGCCCATTCTGTGGCACCTTGCTCATGTATGGTGGAGCAAGAATTGTTGTAAATGTAAGCATTTGTTGTGAAGAAGGTCAGAGTTCCTGGCTACAGATCCAGAGGTCCCGGGTTCGATTCCCAGCGCTAAAAGATTTTCTGAGAAGCAATGGGTCTGGAACGGGGTCCACTCAGCCTCATGAGGATAATTGAGGAGCTATTTCAAGGAAATAGCGACTCCAGTCTAGAAAACCGAGATTAACGGCCATGAGGACCAGTTGTGCTGACCATGTGACACCCTCTATCTGAAAAGCTGCTAGACAATATTCCCACATTAAATTGAGGCTGACGTTAATAGTGTACAGTGCTGTAGACAGACCACACAGGTTCCTAAACTGTGCAGACATGAAAAGGTTTCTTTCTGAACCCTGTGCTGTGCAGGGTGACTACTGTGACCTCTATGTAATGTGTTATAGATGTCCAAGATATCTCCTTTATACTGACTGTGCAAAATGTGTATGACAAAACAACTGAAACATTTTAAGCATTTTGTCTCTCACAGCACAGTGAAACATATGTTAAACTGTTTTAACCACACGGGACAGAAGTAAGAGGATTTAACTGGTCTGTTGAGCCCAGGCATAATGGAGAAACTGTTGGATATTTAGAAAGTTAAATTTGTAGGTTCAAGCTCAGAGAGGACCTATGTTCAGTTAACTTAAATATTCTAAAAGTGTTAATGTCAACAATAAAGCCTGTAACACTTTTAATATTACATATTTAAATACTGAAATATATTGTAGTTTTATAAGCATGTCTTTCTATCTTCCATGGAGCAAGCAGGGTTTAAAACTCCTGGTCATTTTATGACAGGAGACAACATACATCACTTTTTCAGGAGGAAATAATTGTATGTGATACATAACTGTGTTTGTGAACAGTGTCTCAACTTATGCTGGTCCATACATTTTTTTCCAAGGGTATTAAATACAGAACAGTAGTCGGTATAGTGACTGGCTACGGGCTGGACCACCAAGGGTTTGAAGTTCGAGTCCTAGTAGGGTCAAGAGTTTTGTCTTCTCTACATTGTCCAGACCAGCTCTGGGGCCCAACCACCTTCCTATGCAGTGGGTACTGGGGGCTCCTACTGGGGTGTGAAACTGACCACTCACCTCCAATTAGTACCGAGGTCATTCGTACACCTTCATGGTGTAGTGCTTAATTAGCTAAGCACAGAGACAACATTACCTTTTACCTTCAGAGGAAGGAGTAAATATTTCACATAGAATGAAAATAGTGTAAAGAGAACTGGACTAGTAAGTACTAATTTATAGAGAGAACAGAGAATTTGTTTTATTCTGTAGTGATATTTTTTTTATTACATATTTTAAGTGATTTCTCAGTGATGTGTTGCCAGTAGTTTGCCAGCCATAATACATTTAGTAATTTGTACAATTACAGTCTATTCTGGCAATAAGAAATGTGAACCATAGTAGAGTGAATGATGAATGATGTGGAAAAATATTGTCATTTTAATGACTGTAGATGGGTTTGAATTGGTAATCAGATTTACTGCCCTTGTAACTGTAAGTAAGGATGATGCTCTCTGTTCTGCACACTTCACAAATCATTATGGGACACACTATGTCGAGCTATTTCACTTCACTTCACTTCACTTCACTTCACTTCACTGAACTGAACTGAACTGAACCGAAATGCAGCAGTCCTCTGACTGACAGACTGACTGACTCCTTCAAATCAGAGTCTAAGTCAAAATTATTGTCAAGTGTTTGGGGTTCCGTGATGAATAATAACGGGTTATGGATTGAATGATTGGATGACACTTCTTCTACAGTCACTGGAATCAAATCAATTATAGTACTATCGCTAACCTACCATCTTCACAAATCACTAGGATGTACTCCATTCTCGTTCTCGTCCTCTGTTGTACACCCTCTGTAACTCCGGGAAGGACCGAATAGAAGTCGCAACCTCCAACAATTGCTCTTTTATTGTGTGCTTATTCATTGCTGTGGAAACATGTTTAGCAACCCATTACCCAGCAACAGATGTCCTATTGTTGACAGCATACCTTTGGGAATGTGTTTACTGGGCTACTGCCTACCAATGGTCATATGCATCACATGTTATGACTGATGGTCAGTCGTTCAGTCTGTCTTGGTGTCAAGCTGCATCCAGGGCTCAAGACCAGATTTTTGTTAGACAGTTACAAGTTTGTTCATGTGGGGCACACTCTTTGATGAGAGGATGGGTCTTTTGTTTACACTTGCTACTGGTCCTCGCCAGCACAGCCACATTTACCATGGTCAAAATCAGTAGTACATGTCATGTATATTTACAACTTACATGTCGGTATTCTACGTAGTCAGTTGGCAGCAGTCAGGTTCCTTGTGGACACCTACTATTTACAGTTAACTCTAATATGTACTATATGTATGTACAATATATACAAGGCTTGGCATAGCATATCATGCTCTAAGTCATGTAGCTCATATTACAGCAGCTACCTAGTCACATGAACGGTCATACACTTGAATGCTGCCAAGCTCAAGCTTCTTAAATTTTCTGTGTCAGGCTTCACATTTTCTGATTTCAAGAACATTTGCATTTTCATTATTTTATAACTTCTGGTTGTTGCCTGTACAATTTGGTATGTAATCATATATACATGGCACTTGGAAAGCCATATGCAACTCGTGGACCAGTGTGCACTTTGAAAATTTACCAGAGGTGTGGAGAACTTTGTTTTGCAAGTGCTGCTATTTTGAAAGGTGGGTGTCTGCAGGAAATCCCCAGGGAGAGCAAGCATAAGTCAGTACTGATCTAATTAGTGCTTTGTAGAGGGTTAGTTTAATGTCAGTGGTTAATCACTCACTTTTTCACAGGGAATAGACTCTAGTAAATGTTCTGAAGGCCTTGGATTTGATCATATCTATATGCATGTATTCCTCTTGGCAACAGTTGCACTGAGGTTCACAGATTCACAGAGTGGATGTTCCGTCCATTCATATGAGATGAACCTCAGGTGGTGTAAGTCTGTGAAAGAAGTAGATGGCCTGACTTTTATTTTTATTGATCTTAATGTCACAGCACTTCTGCAACGTCTCAGTTGAATTCAGACTGTGCTGCAGCTGTCTGAGAACGTAGCCCTCTTTGTGATCCATGGCATACGTACAAGTGTCATTGGCAAAGAAGGCCAGATAAACAACTGGTGTTTGGGAGGTATCATTTGTGTACATACTGTACAATGTTGGGGACAGAATGGAACCTTGAGATGGCTCTGTTTGCATTTCCCTTGGCTTAGACAATTTGCCTTATACCAAAACTCTCAATTTTCTTTGTGAGAGAAATGAGCTAATAAGCTTGATCAGGCTGGCTGAAAATTCCAATTTAGATAGTTTATATAGCAAACCAGGGTGCCATGTAGTGTCAAAGGCTTTGTCAGTATCTAATAATACTGCAGCAATAGATATCTAATTGTTGAAATTAAGTGTCACGTGATCTGTAAGACTCAGACATTGCAATGTCTTGCTGTGACGTGAATGGGAACCAAACTGGAGTGGAAGCCTCTTCAAAGTACCTTAGTATTTTTGGTATAATTTTCTCAAATAGTTTGCTTGTTGTGGACAAGAGGCTAATCGGGCATAGATGTGGGAGGAATTTAAGATTCCTTACCAGGTTTCAGTAAGGTTAGCACCTCTGCTTCCTTCCAAGTCATCAGAAAATGTGAAAGCCGAATGCGATGATTAATCAAATGCGTGAGGTGTACCAGTGGTCTCCTTGGAAGGTGTCTGAAAAATTAATTTGGAATGCTATCAATCCCGCAGGTCTTTTTCAGTTTCAGATAATTTATTAATTACTGTATATCACATGGTCTGAGTCTTTCGGGTGGGGGGGGGGGTATTGTCTACAGCTTCGAGCATACCTTGAACTCTAGCCTCAACTCGCCATTCATGGTTGTTGTCACACAGGTCATGGGGTATGGACTGATTTTCCAGTTAGCTATCATGTTGGCTTTGTCTGACAGATGATACTTAAGGCCTGAAGGACCACAAATAGCAGTTGGTTCCTTTTGTCTGTCCCTCTTCATGAGGGATTTCGCAGTAGATCATATTTCTTAAGGTGTGACCTCACAGTTTCCTGTTTTCATATCCCACCATTCAAGTGCCTTTCTGTAAGTAACTTTTCTAATGGTTTTCCTGACCCAAATGACTGCTGTTTTGCATGCTACATCCCAGGTTTCTTGTCACAGTTTTCATAATCTCTGCTTGTGTTTTAACCAATGATGTAATCCAGGAAGATCATGGTTATTTATGTCTGAAAGCATAACTTTACTTGTTGACAGCCTATGAGATCTGACAATAAAGTTGGCGAACTCGCCACTGTGTGTGTGCTGTGGCAGCAGTGGACAGAAACCCCAGTATGGTTTGATGACGTTGACATATCAGCGTTTCACAGCTGTGTTGTAGTTGGCCTATTGCAGTCTCTTTTTGAGTGGCATCTATTATTGTCTTGAGTATGTTTTGGTTTGCCAGTGCAAGAATGTCAGAGCTTGAATTAGAGCAACGAGAGAGGGAGCTTTTTAGCTAGTAAACAAATAACTGTGCAGGAACATCCTCCCTCTTCACGGATCTAACCTCCAATAACTTTTTTTTTCTGTTCCCGAAGATAAATGAAATATTTAAAGGAAGGCATTTTGATGCCATCAGCAGCCATCACCATTCCCTCGCATTATGCAGGTACCACCTGACCATTGGTGGCGCCATTGGTCCACAGATGCAGCATATGTGTGCAGGATGTACAGGCCCAAGATGAAATCGTTTGTGACATTGGCAAGGAATTCCAAATTTTCAGTGGGTCCCACCACAGGGTCATTGTCCTGGAAACTTCTTTCAAGATGGGGAGAGTTTTCCAGACACCATTTGCAGCATGTAGTGTTGGTACAGCTGCATTTTGGGCCATATGGCAGTGATGTTGAGCCTATCATCCTGAAATATAAGGAAAACCTCGTGGAAGACCAGAGATACAGGAAATGACACTATGATCGTGTTGGATGGTCTCCTCTAACTTTGACCAGATGAAGTGTATTGCGGCCTCCATCTTCTCTTGACATAAGTCCATTTTGTCTTTCATTTCTATCAGTCAGTTTTCTTTTTCTGCCTTGACTGGTGCATATCATCCATTGTCTGTCTGTGACTTATCCACTGGATACAGCCACCTCTGGTACAAATAGATGAGGAACACTAAGTCATCATGGAAACAGGCTACACGGTGAGCAGTAGGCATAGTGAAGATAAAGGCAAAGAGATCATCAATAAATGTATTGAATGCCTTATACATGAAGACCTTGCAGGGCAAATGAGCCACTGACTTTAGTTTGTAGTTGACAAACAACTGAGGCATCATGAACAGGAACCCAAAGGCATGCACACAATTCACCAAACTGTGAACACTCCACAAGAACCAACTCTTGTGGCTGCATGTGTTGTATCGTTGGATGTGTGTGTAAATGGACATATAAAGGCAAGCAGTGAAATAGTTGACGGATCGATACACCTGAAGAAGGCAGCATACTGCTGAAACATGTAGTTAAGAAGTGGTAAATGGGATTGTATGCACTTGAAGACTGTTAATACATACACATTATGACTATAAGGCTTATTTTGGACTCTATCCATCGTCTCGTGTATATATATATAAGACAAAAAACCACAATGTTTTGGAGACTGGATCTGTCTCCATCCTCACAGGACCAGCGATTGAGCCTAGCTCTTTCTAATGGGCCCAACTGAGTAGGTCTAAGCCACCTGAGGATGGAGTCAGATCCAGTCTCCGAAATGTTGTGGTTTTTGTCTTATATATACCAGACAATGGATAGAGTCAAAAATAAGTCTTATAGTTCTGTACAGCATACAGCATCATCAGAATCCTTTCAAGTCTATATCTGGACATATTAAGAGGTTCTGTTATAGCAGTTGTACCAATACTATTGTTTATAAATCAAATGACAGTAGCCCCTCCCCTTTTCAATACAAACACAGAGAATTGTGTTTTTTTATTGTTGTCTCTAAGATGTCTATGTCAGTAGAGACAAAGTATTAAGTATTAAGCAGTCATGTAATTTTGTAAAACAAGTCAAAGAAGATGTGACTGCATTGTTACTGTTTTATTTATGACTATTCTATTTCCTTTCTTATATAATAGTGATTTATTACCTGACGAATCTTTGTACAGTATAAAAGCAAGGCTTGGGTTTCATTACAGCCATGGTCCCCTGTTCTTCTGGTTGTTTTGTATGACTGGGGTAGTCATAAGGTAATGTTTGTCAAGTTTAATAATACGAGGTTGAGTCTGTAATAACACACAAGTATTATGCAGTAGACTTGAAAATAACACAAATATCAAGGACAGCTCATTGCAGCATCTCTGCACAGCTAGGTAGATGATAAACATTATGCAATTACACTTATTTGTGAATGCTGAGGGAATACCATTTTCGCAATTGAGTACTGAAATATTTATACAGTTCAATTACTAATTAATGCACTTAGCCATTGAATGCATGGCCTGCTGTTTTCTTAGAAATACTGAACTAGGGAAGAAGGTTATGATACAGTGACCACATAAACTAGCAGTTAGTTTTGGGTTTTACTTTTATCATTGGATATAAGTCTCATCTGTATGACATTCTTGTCACCCATTTGAATTTACTGACTACTTTTAAGTTGTTCTGTGCTTAATTAAGCACCGAGACATGAAGACATATTGAGTAGTGGAGGTATAGCCCTACCATTCTTGACCTTAGCAGTAGGCAGAGGTAAGTGGTCAGTTTCACTCACACCCACTTTACATCTGGGGAAAGAACCCCAGTACTCACTGGACAGGAAGCTAGGTAAGCCCCTGAGCTGGTCTGGATGATGTGGAGTAGAGAAAAATCTCTTGTCCCCACTGAGAATTGTACCATGGGCATCCTGCTGGAAGCTTATAGCAGCCCCACTTACTATACTAGTATTAACTTAAACTGTTGTAACTTACCCATTGCATCTAGTCACAATATTGTAAACATAAAATGTCACATACGACATTTTATATATACGTATATTATATACTGTTAACCCATAAAAATGTGTAATATACACAATAGGTAAGGAACTTGCCTGAACTTGAACCATACCAGGATCAGGTGGCATTGCAGCAGTTTCTAATATTAACTCTCTAGGGGCCTTTATTTCTCTACGTTGTTCTTGACCTAAGGTCATGTACAAGAACTATGTGACAGTCATACTTCAAAATGTCGTGTATTTAAATCTGTCTTGAATCTGAACCTGCTGTTAAACTGTCAATGCAGATACACTGTCCCCACTCTCACTTCATTTCTGCCAACTTCTGGGACATGATACTATACCACCCACTCTCAATAGGCAGCCTACTGCTGTATTTACATTATTTAATTAGCTTATGTAAATTTTACACATCTATTTATAACATCACTTTTTCAACATATCCAAGGCAATGGTAAAATTAAACAACATGCATGAAGACATATGGGACAGTGAAGATATAGCTCCACACACATTCTTAATTTTGGCATTATTTGGAAGTGACTGGTCAGCTTCACACCCCCGACAGCTGGTAACACATTATTAACATGAATTTTAGCCTTTCATTAACGTTTTAAATGAATTGCATGTATGCTTATTACTGCATTTCATGTTTAATAAAAAAGGCTACAATTTACATTGATCACGAACAATGTCCATTGTGCCTCCCTGATGAGTATATGGATCTCATTCACTTGTCACTGAGAAGCTGTTGTAAAAAACGGCACAAATATTGGAGCTTTTCATGCAGTAGGAATGATCTTGCAAAGGTAATGTGACATGGTAGGAAAGTATTCCGATGGAAAATTTTATCAAACTTAATACTGTTTCATCATACCTTCACACAAGTAACGTCTATTCTAAACTTGATGGTACAAAGAAGTTGTCCATATTTGTAATATAACATACATCATTAATTCAGACATTACAGTCAGAATTTAATAGCTCATGTGTCTCCTATCAAATGGCTACAGGAGGCTCTTTCTCTGGAGGTAAAGCAACTGGGGCGTAAAGTTGGCCACTCACCTCAAATATTGCTGAGGTCAAGAACGTATTGATCTATACCTCAACTCCCCATGTCTCCATGGCATATTGCTTAATTAGGTAAGCACAGGGAAACTTACCTGATATGTGATAACTCATGATCAGTTATCATTTGATTAGTAACCAAGGGAATGTACAAAGCATATATCAGTTGATTAGTAACTAATCACATGTATTATATGGCCAACTAATGGCTTGGAAATCTAAATAGTTTTATGTTAATAAGTTTGCACTAAATTTTGATAAAGAACACAAAATCTTCTACTATGAAGAAGACATGTCTCAGTTCAGTTACAGGTAAATTGCTCCTGGCCCTCACCAGCACAGTGTTATGGGACTTGCGACGATATTTTACTGTCTGACAGCTCTGGGAGCCTTCCAGACCCTGGTTTCCAAAATATACTAGTGAAAGTTCTCCATGTATTTATCTGTAGTCATCTGTGTATACACTTATACTTTCTGTACTTCAGAAATCAAATCTGTGACTTAATTTAATAAAATATTATTTTAATATTTCACAGTAGTCACAAGACACATGTTCACTCAACATTGTATTTAATCAGTTATCTGCTTATTATCCAATTTTTAAATCATGCTTTCATGGGTGCATGGAAATGTTTTATGTGTGGGTGGATGTTTTTTTATGTATAAGATAAAAGGTAAAGCTATCCCTGTGACAGACTGTGGAGACCCATCAGGTTGTGGGACGCTGAGGCATCCACACTTTCTAGACAATCAGCTCACAGATGGCGGTGAGGTTATCAGCCTTATGTGTCCGTCTCCTTTAGCCCCCAGGAAGATTACTGGTACTCATTATTGTAAGTGGGTGAGTCTACACCAGGGCCATATTGTGGCTGGAAGGATTAGGTCAATTGAAAAATCCAGTGACCTCATTGGGAACTGAACCCGCAACCTTCTGGCTTGTAGTGTAGTACCTCAACAAACTATGCTACTGTGTTCCCTGTTTTTTTACATATTCATAACAATAGTGAACAGTACACAATTTTTAAAAATGCAATCATCTTGTTACACCAATAATTAATATATCTGGTGTTCCTAGGGAATGGAGGTTAACTCTAGGCTATATATGTAGATTTAATATTAGTGTGTGTCTGTAATTTGAAAAGCCATTTGCCTGCGAGTTATATGACTGAACATGTAATATTAAAGCATATTTTCATAGAGTATATGTCATTGGCTGAAGGTAGTGTAGTGATTCAAGCTCCACAGCTGTTTAAGCACAAAACTTAATGTGCACTATACATGCAGTACATAATCTTACTCACCAGGTGGTACAGAAACCAGTATGTCCTCGATGGTAACATAATTGAAGACTTTTGCTAACAAACACATTGGTCTAAAGGTAATGGCTCTTAGATATGTGGTTGGGAGCTGCGTGGTTTGAATCTGAACCAGGACACATACTACCCTGACAGGTCTTGTGTGTTTCTTCTCAGTCCCCAGGTAAATTTTACCATATTACCTTGATTAATCCATGACTCCTTCCTTCAATATCTTTCCCAGTGCATCTGTCAACTTACCATATGATGTTATATAATCTTGATACTTAAAAGCAGCGTTAAGTTACCCACAGATAAAAGAAAGACTGCTGCTATGAACCATTTGTATCAGGTGGGACTATGTGTGCATATTTATCTAGTTTATAGGCTCCTCAGTATAATATGTAATATGCATGGTCCATAAACATTTTTGCTGGCTTCTAAAGTTGTAATAAATTTTTGCAGCGTTGCAAATCATGTTTATTGCACAAGAAGCAGGAGCTTCACAATTTGTACTCTTTTCTTAGTATTATTTGGGTGATAGAATGAGATGGATGTCATGTGAAGGCCATAAGAAACTGCTGTTGGAAAATTCATCATAAGATACTACTTGGAAAAATAGGTACAGATTAGAGAGTAATATTAGAATGGATCTTAGAAGAAATATTATGATGATGATGAATACTAGAATAAAATGCCTCAGTGTAGGATACAATTGCAGGCTTTTGTGAAGTCTGTGATGAGTATCCAAGTTGCATGGCAACAAAGACTTTCTTCATCAAGTGAATAACAACAGTTGAAGGAGAATTCTGTATCATAAACATAGTCCCTGTAGAAAATGGTTTCTGTGATTTATTACTGTTTAGATCTGTAAAATTATATGTTTTCTTCTGTACTGTGCCACCACAGAAAGAATTATAACAATTAAATCTGAAATATGAATAATTACAACATAAATTAAATAATTAAATCCTTATAACTGGAATGAAGAACAAGATATACAAATAAACATTTTTTTCAGTCATCTAATTTGTACTTTGTTTCCTGTTCTGAAAATGTTTACTATTACAATTCAGATATAAAATGTAACAGAAACTTTGGCATTATTTTAGCTTGTAAGTATGATTCATTTGATCCTCAGTTAGGGTTTGAATGTTTAAGAATTTCAACAGACTGCCTTCACATCTATGGGTCTCTTTGGTGGCAGATTTATTCGTAACGATATCCAGAATCTTTTAGAACCTAGATCTATTTCGCTATCTTTATGTGTAATAGAATCAATTATATTCTCATTGGATCCATCAAGGACGACACTTGACAGGGATTCCTCCGAATTTCCACAGTTTGACCCTGATAATTTCAACGCGCGTGGCATATGCCTCTGGGAAGTACACATTTTCAGCACAGAGAGATGCTGCCTTTCTGTCACTGCAGGTTCCCACTGAACTTTTTTCACAACTCTCAGTACTTGCTGCAATGTGTGATCACTGGTCTCACTGGCTGGTTTAAAATTCTTCCAGGAAATGTCCTAAAAAAGGAAATAAATCACTATTTTAAAGGAACCTCTTTCATACTGACTCTCTAAAACTGCCTGTTTATTTGATAGATCTGTCAAATTCAGAACTAGTGGTCACTTGTTTTGTTCTTTAGAAGCAGTCTTCACATGTTAACACTTTACTGTCATTAGTTCATAGTGGCCTCACCTTTACTTTTATTAACCTTGGAATATCATGTAATTAGAATAATGTTATTTCTTTTTTAAAATTTGTTGAAGTTCATTATGTATTCTATAACTTTTTGTCTGGATTTACCAGTCTATTAATCTGTACATACTACGTATCTCAAACCTCTCAACCTAAGGGAAGAAAGAAGATTGAAGGTACTGAATAATATGATGCTAAGAGGAATATTTTATCTAAGAGAGATGAAGTAAGAGGTGAGTGGAGAGCACTGTATAATTTGAAGGTTCATAATTTCATTTCTTCACCAAATAATGTCACAGTGATCAAATCAAGAAATTACTGGAATGCTCTGAAAGGAGGAAACTTCAAAGATTGGACTGAATGTGAGGATAAGGGTTAGCCTAAAGTAGACCAAGAAAGAAGACTGGCATGAAATGAACTATTAAGTGCAGACTGTGGAAAGAGGCCAGGAAGCAAGAAATGAAGAAAGCAGTACTTCATAACCAAGAAGGGCCAGTAGAACCAGCAAAGGAATGGGAGTGGGAAGATTAGGTAGACACAAAATATAAAAATAAGTATGATGGAAAGAAATAACATAAAGTTATCATTATTGTTGTAGCCATATAAGAATCTGTGCTGCAGAACGAACAGAAAACCTAGGAAAATCTTTGAAGTCAAAGGGTTTGTAAAACCAAAACCAATTGAGATATCAGTAAACTGATAACTATTTTCATGATGTGTACTCCTCATAGGCATGACCTGATGGTATCATATGTAAACAGTGAACTTAAAGTGCTCAGTATGAAAGTAAGAAGACTATGAAGATCTTTAAAAATACATATGCAGTCAGTGCAGATAGAAGTAGGGAATGTTTCACTCAGCATGGTCTGCATATGAATGTCTCTGGTAAAGAGAAGATTGCAAGAGTGGTATCAGATGTTAATGGAAATGTACTAACAAGGAAGAAGGTAGAGCATCTCATCCTGAAAGGTAAGAAAAATCTCGTGGAAGACACAGATGAAACAAAACTGTAATCATCAGGAAGACTTTGTAACCAGCATTACAAAGGCAGGATGATTTTATGGATAATGTAACTGACAAAAGTGTAATAAAAACAAAGGTATGTAAGAGGAAGGACCAAAGCTGTAATATAAAATTTAGTATCCATTATCTATCAAAATGTTTGAAATCTAATAATAAATTGACAGAATTAGAAGTCTTACAATCTTTTTTTAAAATATGTAGATGTACTACTTTTTACAGAACAGTGGCAAAAAGACCAAATTAATTATGTAAATATTACTCAATTTAAATTTGTATGCCCATTTTTATGATTATTAATGAACTTGGAGGTGTATGTATTTATGCGAAAAGAAAGTCTGGAAACAATAAATAAATTGTCTTTCGCATGTAATTGAGAAAACAATTTTTAAATGGCAGTAATAGACTTGCCAGACTTTGAAATTAATATTGTTTGTATATAGAGATCATCTGATGGAATTCTTGACATTGAAAGGGAAATTTTGATTTTAAGTGGTGATTAGTAAGTAAACTGCTTCTAACAGAGTATAGAGTTGAATGAACCAAAAAATTTACACTTAATGTACAATCTAGTAAACACAGTAGTCCTTCCAATGAGAAGTATTGAAGGCACAACTCAGCGTTTAACCAAAATGAGTATCAGGAATCTTCCTTGGGGTAAAGGGCATCTGTTCCATAAGGCTGCAACTTTTTTTTTTTTTTAATTCGCTTAGTGGGGGGTGGAGTCAACTTGGCTTGGCGGCCATTGATTGGCCTATTGTATCCTGCCCCGGGTGATTATGATGATGGAGAATTTGCTGGAATGAAGATTGGCAGGGGAAACCGAAGTACTCTGAGAAAACCCACCCTAGCGCCACTTTGTCCACCACAAATCCCACTTGACCAGAGTTGGGATCGAACCCAGGCCGCCGCGGTGGGAAGCCAGCAACTAACCACTTGAGCTATGGCGCGGCCTTGGCTGCAACCTTACTGCCATCTGTGAGCAGACTGTCTAGAAATTGTTGGAGCCTCAACATGTCACAATCCTACGGAGCTCCACGGCCTCCTGCAGGGTCAGTTTTACCTTTAACCTTTACTAAAACAATACTAGATTTAATTATCATGAATAAGAAAGATATATAGAACCATCAGCAGTAATTAACTTAGGATTTTCATGTCGCTGTGCCCAGGTATTTTCTACATATCTCTATAAAGTAAAAATTGCGAAGGAAAGCTTTTAGCAGGAATTGAAGAAATACTAAGCTACATTGTCAAGAAGTGCATATAAACTCTTAAAAGACTGCGAATTTTCAGAGAAATTTAAAATTATGGAAGTAAAAGCAGTTTATAAAGAGGGGGACAAAAGTAGCATACAAAACTACAGACTAGTAACATTTTTATGTGCTTTCTCAAAAATTTCAGAAAAACTAGTGTGTAATAGTTTAATTTCCTTTTTATCGAGAAATAGCATATTAATAGAAGCCTAAAATTGATTTGGGGGTGGGGAGATCAGCAATGGCAGCAAAGTACCCTTTGCTTGAAAACATACAAGAGTCTATTGAAAAACTGCAACTCAAATTGAAATACTTGGTGATTTAACTAATGCATATGATGTGTTTGACCATGAAATTCTACTTTCCAAATTAAATTTATATGAACTTAGTTGCTTTTTGAACTCATAGTATGAATCATATTTAGCACACTGGAAGGTAAAGGTAAGGTTGTCCTTGTGATTGCTTAAGCACCAAGACATGAAGATATGTGACGGAATGAAGATGTAGCTCCACCATTCTTGACCTCAGCATTAGATGGAGGTGAGTGAGCAGCTTTGGCCCTGGCTGCTTATACCCCAAGGAAAGAGCCCTCAATACCGATTGGATAGGAGGCTGTGTGGACCCCAGACCCAGTCTAGATGCTATGGAGAAGAGAAAAATGTTACGCCTATAATCAATTGAACCCCAGCCATTGGCCCATAGCCCTTCACTATACCAATTTAGCTATCCTGGCTCTACGGTAGAACATAGTTTCTGAAATAAATGGTAGTATAATGGTAATAAGCATTCAAATAAAGTAAGATGTTTCAAATGTAAGAGAAATAAAACATGGGATGTCACAGGGTTCAATATTTGGGCCAATGTTGTTATATGTAGATGACCTGCCAGTAAATATACAAGAGACAGTAATATTTGAAGACGACGAACATTATAATAACAGCAGAGTAAGAACAGATCTTCCAACATAATATACAAAAAAAAAAGTAGACTTATGAATGACTTACATTCATGGTTTTAGGCAGACAGTTGAATGATACTGTGAAGAAGATAATAGCAGTGTCTTTCAATACTAGGCAAAAAGCAGACCTAGTAAAACTTCAAGCCAAATTTGACAATGTGAATATAGCATATAAACAAGAAACAAAATTTATAGAGCACTTTATTATCAAAAATATGAAATGGGATGCAAATGAGAAGTTACTAAGCACCAAATTCAGTAAATTTAATTATGAGATACAATATCTTGATTATGTAATGAGGCAAAATGTTATAAGGGTTATTTATTATGCATATTTTACTGCTCATCTGATGTATACAATTTAATTTACTGGGGTGGTGGTTTTGGAAGTGATAGTATTTTAAGTTTAAAAACTAGTTACATGAATAATCGATGGTTCAGAGAGAGAGATGTAATATAGACAACTTTTAAGGATTTAACCATACTTCCAATAGCTTGCATGTAAATAATGGAAATAATGTCACATAAAATTAAATATAGAGAAGATGGAACATAACACTGGAATTCATAATCACAACACATGTCAAAATAAATCCTTCACATATAGTTTTATAAGAAGAATTATATCAGAAATTGTGTAATTAATGTGGAAATTACACTATTTAGTACATGTTCAAATCAAATATGGAAACTGCAAAAATGTGACTATATAAAGAGGAGCTGAGATTCTTCCTATTACAACATATAGTTTCAATTATAAATCACTCCGTCCAATGTGACCTGTAAGTTTTTACTACATAAAAACTTAAGTTTCTATGTAGTAAACAACTTACAGGTCACTTTGGACGGAGTGATTTATAATTGTAATCGTTATTGTGACGGATCAGAATGAAACAAATCAAACATATATTTTATTCTGTAAATTAATATATGCCATATTAACATAGGATGATTGCAGAGTGTGTTGGGTCCATGATTGTAATTGTGTTGTTATGTTAATTAGTAGAAGATGATTTTTAAGTAAGTTGGCCTATGAATTATATCTGTATTATATTGCAGTATTATGTTTGATTGAAACTTGGTTGAATTCTTGAATTTCTATAATTTTCGGATTGTGTGCCCTAATGACCAGTGTCCTTCATCAAATGTTTGACTGAACAGGATAAATAAAAACTAAACTAAACTAAACTAAACTCATTATGAAGTAGTTTTCATGGTGGCACAGAGATTGTGTGTTCCAAATTCTGTTCTAACATGATAGCAGATAGATAACTATTATGTTCCAATTGAAATTTAGATTAGCAGAAGTATATATTTAAATCATTAAATTAAATTAATAAACATAAACATAATTGACATATCATCACAAAAATATGTGTAATAAAGTTTTCAGCCATGAAGAATATTTATCCTTATCCACCACAATCCTCATCCAGACGTATTGGCACGTGTAGATATGTGTGCCTATAGATGTGGTTTGGATTGGTTAATGGAATTATTTACCACTTATACACATGACTGGGAACTAGAAGCATTTACAACACTATCAGTGATCTACACACTTTACAGATCAATAGAGCACATGCTAAATCTTCTCAGTCTGCTTTCACTAGTCATTTCCTGGTAACATATTTTAACAATGGAGATTTTTCAGCTTCTGTGCTCATGCTGTTGCTGTCTGGCAAATGTCCCACAGCTGAACTGTCAACTGAGCTCATTGTCAGAGTCTAAGTCACATTGCGACTGATGGTCAGTCAGTCAGTCAGTCAGTCAGTCTTTGTGTTCATCCCCATCTGGAGCTTATAACCAGATATTTATTACTGTTTGACAGTTATGGTCTTGTTTTTGTGGGGCAGCCTCTCTGACGAGAGGATGGGTCTGCCTTTTGTATACGCTGTTGGCCCTTGCTAGTGCAGTCTTTCTTAGGTCCCTTGGGACTCACAACCATATTTTACTATCTCAGATTTGAGACTTCCCGTTTTGTCACCATCAATGACTTGCAGGGTCATGGTGGAGGTATTTGACCCCTTCTTCACATGGGTATGAGCTCATTGCTCCAACTGTCCTGGTGATAAAATCTTGGCACAGACCACAGAGAAAACACTGTTTTTATATTGTGTGCATGTTAATTGCTGCAGAAACGTGTTTATTGAGCTGTTGCCTAGAAATGGTTATTTATTCACTTTATCTCTGTCATTGCGTAGCAATGGCTGTACATGCTCTAATATGATGCCTGGTATCTTTTTTACAAATTTCAATAAAAAGGAATTTACAGTGTAATCATTAGGGAAATGCTTATAGGAATATTACTATTTTAATACTATTTGATTCAAATACAGCTGAACTTTCATATTGTGCCATACAGTCCTTTGAGACTTCATACTGTAAAGTTGTCTCTGAATTTAATTAAACAGTATGTCATAAAAACAGAAAACTGCAGTGTTTATAGGACTGACTAACCAGTATTTTCTGTATGTAAATAGTTCATTGGTACTTGCTTTTAAACTTCAAAGGCCAAACTTTTGAAATGGTGATAGTTTTAGCTGGCTGGAGTTCATTTAAATGCCTGCTGCTGGTGCGCATTTAAATGCCCAAGTGCACGCATATGTGCACTTTGGCCATGACGTAACTACCTATCATTGTACTTCAGATACTAAAGGTTAAATAAGTAAATAAGGTATGTACAGTGTAAAGAGTTAACAGAATCTGCTTTAGTACCAAAGATAACCGCAATTATTTTTGTTTAGCAAAATAAAACTAATGAATTTTGGTATCAATACTTATACACTAAAATAAGAATACAATACCTGAAGTACAACACAGATGATTTTAGAATGGAGATTCAGCATTGCTTCAATTGCTACATACAAAGCATATGTGCACCAACTATTAACAGCCAATGCTGGTGAGATAATCATTAGAAAACGTCTGCTTGACCGGATCTTCATTGTATATATTTCTGGAATCCCTGAAACCATACCCTTTTTTTATATTATTAGTTCCTGTGACATTAAATATGCACTTCCATAATTCCGTAATTTATTATATGAAAATTCTGCATTTTTAACTGTAACAGTAAATATTTATAAAATTACCCAATTGTTCTGTACTTACAGTCTCCAGCCACACTGTCTCGTTCATAGACAAAACAATGATAATGGTAAACGTTTTCTAGGGTGTGAACTAACACTCCAAGAGCAAACTCTGCATCTGTCTGGTCATAGCATACAAAAACGTCATATTCCTTGTTATCTGAAAATAAATAAAACATACAAGTCTTATTTTTCAAGTGTATAAAATTAAAATGTTAATGCCACCTCACACAAAACCCCTTCTCTTCTCACTACCATCTAAGGACCCTTTTGTAAGTCAAAGTCACATTGCGACTGATGGTCGGTCAGTCTGTGTCTCTTGGTGTCAAGCCCTGACTGGGGCTCATGACCAGATTTTTTTTTTCTTTATATGTTGCAGCTACTCCTTGTTATATAGCCTCAGCACTAACTGCACAGAAAATGCTGCTTCCAACAGCTCTTATATTGTTGTATGAGTGTGTTGCGGCCATTACCTAGCAATGGCCGTTGTTCACAGAACTATTACCTAGAACAACTGTTATATAGCTGCCTGTTTCACAGTTGTTGCTTAACAGTGGGTCTGTGTGCCACAATATAATAAATGAGTTCTGTACTATAAGAATAGAACTTATGTGGGGTAATTCATTCATTCATTCATTCATTTTATTTAGCATTCACAATTGCTACAACAGTAACACTTGAACAAGTCACATCATTAAATACATCATTCTTGAAATCCTTTTACCCAAATACCTAAAAGATTAGAATTTGTCAACAATAAATAATTACTCTTGACATGGTTAAACCTCGTCCATGATATGTATGTACTGACCGTCTTCTAGTGCACATAGTCTCACATGTCACTTCACTACATGTTTTGGCATCACTGTGTCATCCTCAGGTGTGTTATTTACGTTAAACTATTGCACTGTTCGCCATCGTGTCGTTTATAAAATGATTTAAAATATATATTCTTCATGTACTATAATAAAATTTTAATATATATAAATTTTATTATAGTACATGAAGAATATACATTTTAAATCATTTTATAAACGACACATGATGACGAACAGTGCAGTAGTTTAATGTAAATAACAAACCTAAGGATGGCACAGTGACGCCAAAACATGTAGTGAAGTGACATGTGAGATTGTGTGCACTAGAAGACGGTCAATACATACATATAATGGATGAGAATCAGTGCAACAGGATGCTAAAATACAACATGGTTAAACCTACAATTAAGATATAACACACTGTCAAAACCAGATAAGCAATCATATTAGATACAATACATAAATAAAAATGGAAGTTGATTTTAAAAAATGCCTATCATACTATTTTTGTTAACCTTGTGAGTTTATCAAGAGAATTTTAAGAGTATTACAGTAAATCAGAAGTTCTACATATGACTATGTCGATCACCGATCACATTAAGATACTACAAGCAACCATTTGTTATCTATTTCAATTGCTGAATAGAGGTTTTGCTATGCTTACTAGTGTCCCTCTAAAAGAAACTCATACAGTGTATAGAATGGATGATCTAGTAAAAATACTTTTAGCTTATGTTTAAAATCTTTACATCCATCTGATTTTCTTGATTCCAAAGGCAGTTTATTGATACTGATATAATTGAATACCCATATTGATAACATTTTTCTTAAATGTTGCTGTGTTACAATTTGGCACATGAAAATAATCTTTCCTTCTAGTATTATATTCATGAAAATCTGAATTTCTCATAGAGTATAAACTATATTTCAGAAAATAGCACAACTCAAAAATGTACAGGGAGGTAATAGAATGTAGGACCAGGGAGTGAAACTCTGTGCACTCCACAATGTAAATCTTAATGGACCTAAAAAGTATTCAAATATGCAAGTATTAATCTATGTACTGTTAATGGATGGAATTGTTCCAGCTGGATGCAATGTTAATTTTTTTACTCTGTTCATCCACTCATTGCTTCACCTCCAACACACTGACCAGTGTTAGAGTTGTACAAGAGCTGCAAAATCCCTCCCAAAGTTATTAATCCTGAAGATGGCAGCTGCAAAATGTGACAAAACGTTGGAAAACCCTCAACATTTGAAGCAGCCTAACCCCCAGAGCTAAAGCCACACACATTAAGTTTCAGCTGTAAAAACCCATAATGTGAACAACAAGAGGAATATTTGATTTCCAGTATGAACATGCAACCAGAGTTTCTATAACCCACTATAGCAATGTGAAAAAAAAAAAACAACTTAGAGATAGCACTTGTGATTTTTATTCTACAGATGTGTTTCATTATGCCAAGTTGGACCCTCATAACTTAGAGTAAGTAATCTTCAAATATGCAGGATAGTTGCAAATGAACTGAAGAATCAGTAATATATTTTTCAAGAGATCTACTACAGCTTAAAGTTACAGCATAAGGATAATGCTGTTCAGAACAAATCATGTTTTAAGAATACAGAAATCTGTGCTCAGGTTGCACCCAAATCATTACTGAACTTGCTGCCTGAAGTACAGCGCTTCTTGCGAAGCTGACAGTTGTTCAGCAAGTCAAAGAAGTCCCTACTTTTTATGGAACTTTAGGATTTACTGTCATGTTCACAAGATCTAGTCACTGGGCTCTAGGCTGTGCCAAATGAATCAAGTCCACACACACATCTTATTTCTTTAAGGTCCAGTTTGATATTACATATAGTACCTTCAGGTTTTCAGTCTAAAAGTTTGTAAGCAATTCTTATGATCATAGGTATGCTATGTGCTCCTTCTCACCATGATTAATTTTGTTACTCTCATTTGGTCATTAGTATACAGCATTCACACTTACTTATTTCAGTAATAATTGACAACTTCTGAAATAAGTAAATTGAACTGGGTGTGCTAGTATTTCAGAAATTTACCTTGTCTACTGAAAGTCATTCCTCTTATTTCTCCCCCTGCCTCCTATAGTTCCCACTTTGTCTTCTTACTGGGACCCAATTTTGGCAAGGGGCTTCTTACTTAACCGGGTTTCCCAAATCCATATTGAGACTAACAGCGGGATGCTGATGTGGAGTAAGAACATTCTACACCTTTTGCCATAAAAGGACAATATGGATCTCTCTCAAAATATTTTCCTTACATTTTATTAAATATATGATACAGAAAATGTCTGAAGTAAATGTTATAGATCTTAAAGACACTGTATTTTATATCACATGACAGTTATTTGTACAATAAGTAATTTTTATCAAAATCGATGAAATTAAATTTGAAATTTATATAATGTAGGGATTTGAACCGTTGATATGAAATTGTATCAAAATCTATTCATTTACTTTAGAGATATGACATGCAGAGAGACACAACCTCCCTTATATGCTTCAACATCATAAACTTTGAATAAAGATATATAACAGAAGGTGTGTTACATCTAGAAATATGTGTTTATATTACCATCTTCAAGTTTTCCAAAGCGGTCCTTCCAAAACAGACAGAGCTCAAGGTGCCATCTTGTGTATGCAGTAATCAGTACAACAACTGTACATGTGAACACTACCATAATGATGATGGCAGCATTGTACGATGTGAGAACTTTCACTGTAGGACTATCTGTAACACAGTTTATACCAGCATCAGCATGCAGCACAATTGAAATTCCATTTACTATATTTCAGAATGTAATTTGTGGTATTAGAATTTTTAGAGTGAGGAGTGATTTTGCATAAAATACAAACCACATTTCCTAGATAAAAGCAGATTGAATATACAAGAATGTGACAAGCTAGATGGTTCCTCAAGGCTAATTTGAGGATAGTACTATAAATTAGAAGTTGTAAGAGAAANGGTGTTGAGGAGAATATTTTGACCGAAGAGAGATGAAGTGACAGGAGCTGGAGAAAACTGCATAATGAGGAGCTTCATAACTTCTACTCTACTCCAAGTATAATTATAATGATGAAGTCAAGGAGGATGAGGAGGGCAGGTCATGTAGCAATAATGGTGGAGAAAAGGAATGCATATAGGATATTGGTGGGAAAGCCAGAAGGAAAGATACCACTGGAAAGACCAAGGTGTAGGTGGGTGGTCAATATTAAAATGGATCTTAAGAGAGATAGGATGGGATGGTGTGGATTGCATTGATCTGGCTCAGAATAGGGACCAGTGGAGGACTCTTGTGAACACGGTAATGAACCTTCAGGTTCCATAAAATGCTGGGAAATTCTTGAGTAGCTACAGAATTGGAAGCTCCTCAAGAAGGGCTCAGTCCCATGAGTAAGTAAGTAAATAAGTAGTCTTAAAAATTATTGTTATTATTATTATTATTATTATTATGATAGACATTTTTCTGTGAATCCAATTCTCCTCAACCCAGTGACAATTTTGTTACTAAGAGTTCCCAATTAAAACATTTTTTATCCTTGGGGTTTGTTATTTGCATCCCATCCTTCCATGTGTTAACTGGTCTTAATATAAACCTGTGATTAAAAGACAATATATAATTACATCTTACTCATTATATATTTTTACCACATCATGATCATCGTCATATAAAAGCATGTACATTATTGGAAAACAAAAAATTATGTGGTGTGCAGTGCAGATGTATCATAAACAGCATACGATGCTAAGTGAAGAAATTGTAAGTAAAATATGATAAAAGGTGGGGAATTGGAACTACAACACAGAATGATCAAAATAAACTTCTATGCCCATGCAGATAAATGTATGAAACTCCAAGGTTCATGTTGTAAGGTAAGTTTCTGTGTTATGTTCTATTTTCCTTCTTAATAACATTGTTATTATAGTCAATGTGCAGAGTGTCATGATTTTGTGGCAGAGTGCCCACCATGGGTGGAGAGATTAATTTGGTATTGTTTACCGGTCTTGAATAATTCATGGCATGGCTGGTGATGAGCAAAGTAATATGTAGAGGTACTGTATGTGTGTGTGCTGAAATGATTACAAATGCACTCTCTACATTTAATCATATTTTTTTATAATTATTTCACATAATATTTTGTTTGGTTGGTGATATATTTGCACTACAGAACATACATAATAATTTCTTCTCTCGCATTAAGGTATATATATTTTCACTTGATGACGACCAAAAAGAGATCAAAACATATAGTGAATAAGAATTAATTAAATATTGTCTTCTAATTTTAAGTTTATGTTAAGACTGCTTGTTTATGACTTGTAACAGAACACAGATGGGATGCAAACATTAAGAAAGAAACCCGAAATTAGGCAAAGGTTTCTTTCTTTCATGTCCTCTCCAATTCATTATTCACTAATCATCTTAACATTTAACAATGTATATTCCTAACAACTGAAAGTGCCTTGAACTAAACCAAGGATAGAACAAAATATGGATGGACTTAGCAGAGAGTTTCTCAAATAGTGATCTGGATTGTGATCTTCAGGGATAAGAAAACACATCAGATGCAGAACACCTTAATAACAAATTTAATAATAGTGAAGTAGAACATCTTAATATAAAGCTTGCAGTTATGAATGATACCTCCTTCTAAACTATTAATAGTAATGGTTTTTATACTATATCAGCCATTAATAAATAACTAATATAAATTAGTGTAAAGAAGCAGCAAGATTATGAATGGCCGTGTTATAGCTCAAGCGGTTAGTCACTGGCTTTCCACCGCGGCAGCCTGGGTTCGATCCCGGGTCTGGTCAAGTGGATCTGTTGTGGACAAAGTGGCGCTGAGGCGGGTTTTCTCCAAGTACTTCAGTTTCCCATACCAATCTTCACTCCACCAAATTTTCTATCATCATAGTCACCTGGGGCAGGTACAATAGGCCAATCAGTGGCTGCTGTGCTGAGTGGACCCAGCTGGATTCCACCCCCACTAAGCAAAGGTTACGAATTCCAGGCTCACAAGCATACAGCAGCAAATGCACATATCAAACAAGTGACCCAACAAAATAAAATCTAAAGTTTTTGAAAGAACCAGATCTCTAAATAATAAGCAAAATGTTATTATACTATGAATAAAACATAAACTCTGAAGTAAGCAGAACCAATATCATACATATTTCAGGATTTGAAATTCTCATAGTGGTGGTTATGAAGAGTCCTATCTTCTGGGATATAATACCTGTAGTCTATAGAAAGTCATCTGATGTTTCAGAGGAACATGACAACTCCATTTTCAACGCCAAAGAATAAACCAGGAAGCTAGTGTGAACCAGGTTCATCTTGCTTCATGCTTCATGCTGGTTTCTTGCATGGCTTATGCTTTAATCCTGAAGATGGAGGTCACACATCATATGTGATCATACACAATTTAGTGCATAATCTGATGAAAAGACACACAGTTTATCTTGCAACAAATCTAATTAATTTTGACATTACTAGAAATAAACATGATATTGTTGTTTATGAATATCAAATGAGTGGATTTACTTTCATTAACTTAAATATGCATATTGTTGGAAGATCTAGGTATTGATGGGAAGTTAATATTTAGTACTTAAATGAATATTAAGGAAATAGAGGGTGTGTGGGTGTGTGCTGGGTTCATCTAGCTCATAATAGCGTCCAGTAGTGGGCTCTTTTGAACATGGTAACATGGTATTCTGGCATTTGGAGTGTAGCATTTGTGATACTGCAGATAGCAGTAATTGTGAATCTGTAATTTGGGTGATTGTAAGTGCGAATGTGAAATAAAATTCGCTATATCAAATACGGCGTGAAGTTATTTGTCACGTTATACGCCCAATACGCGACAGTATATTACTTTCCAAGGAAGTGTTAAAGATTAAGCCAGCCCCATAACAGGTAATGGAGGCCCATAGGGTTGTGAGACATCAAGACACCAACATTTTCTACACAATTGGCTCACAGATGGCAGTGAGGTCATTGGCCTTACATGCTAGCTGCCCTTTACCCCCAGGAAGATTCCTGGTACTCATTTCTGTTATAGGCCAAGTCAACCTCAGGTCCATAGTTTAGCTGGAAGGATTAGGTCAATTGAGAAATCCAATGGCATCATCAGGAATTGAACCCGCGACCTTCCAGCTTGTAGNAAACACAGAAAAACGCACACACACAAACTAAACATCCATGCCCTGAGTGGGATTCAAACCCACGATCCCGGTTTCCAAGCGAGCGAAGACAGTACATACCTTAGACCGCTCAGCTACCGTGACCGGCAAATATACTAATACGAAACAAAAATCAGCTCCTACATATAAGAACAGCAGTCTATTGCATTCTACACTTAGTTTAGCACTGTCTGCATTTACAAATTAATGACTCAGAGAACTGAATGAAATAGATGTGTTGAATACAATACAATACAAGAAACTCCTGAACACTTACCACCTTCTATGAGTGTCACATTGAACACTTTTGGATTATGTCCATTACTTATTGTACATTTATATGTGGCAAAATCTTCTTTAGTTACAGTTTTAAAAATCAGGTACTCTCCAATTATTAGACCATCATCCCTTCAAACAAAATTAAAGTAATGTAAAATTATTTTCACTTGAAGAATATCACAAAGCAATTTATTTTCTGGGGTCTGAGGGGCAAGACAGTTTCACAGAAGTGTATTCAAGTAACATACTCATTATACTATTGCTGCTGCTGCCACTGCCACCACCACCACAACTACCACCACCACCACCACCACCACCACCACAACTATCACCAATACTACTACTATAATATTACTACTGCTGCTGCTGCTATTACTACTGAATAAACAAAGATGGTGACTACTTTCTGTTATGTTCTCATCAGGAGTTTTAAAAATAATGTTCTTAGATACATATCTACCATAAATACGCAAATAAATAAGATCCTGTCCAGAGAAAAGCCAGGAAATCAATATTCCAATTGTCCTACATGCAAACTGCATTATTTAACTAAGGGGATAAACTTATTGGAAATCTTTGTTTGTATTTATCTTTTCCTTCCAACTTTCCTACATTTCTAAAATACTGCTAACAAGTCATAACTTGTTACACTTGGAGTTATAAATGTATATTTAAAAATTCTAAATTTTGGTTGAGTTTTTCTGTGGGCATTTAATAATAGCGTTTGTGAATCTTGAACTTCTGGAAATTTATAGCGGTCACTAAAACTGGAAAAGTTTCAATTTACATTTGTATTTAACTGTTTTAATAATGAAACAAAGAATTTAATAACTCATTATTTTCAAACCAAATTTTAAGAGACTGTGCTTAGGTATGCTGATCTTTATAATTACCCTTTAAAGCTCATAGTTATATCAGACAGGTTTGTGGAATTTAGAAGAAAATCACTATGCTTCAGATGGATGTGAGTGTTTTTATAAATTAATATCTTGGAATTATGGAAGTACTAAAATTATTTCAGTAACTCAAAGACTGTTTTAAGGCTCATATTCTATACTTAATTTTTCTGACTATACAGTAAAATTAAACTGGTATCTTTTTAAGAGCTTTTTAGAAATATGAAAGCACTACTTTCCTGTTCTGGATGACTGAGATATCATACAGTTTGTGATATAATAGGTTATAATCAAATAAAATGAAGTCATCAGATTCCTTCAGGAAATTCACACTTATTTATTAAAACTCTAATTGGGAATTAAAGCTCCAAATTGTCATCTCATTGACAAGAGATGAATTGCTATGTCAAAATACACAGAGGATAGTACACTATAAAAGTGGGGTCATTCAACTCTGTCTAGTGTCTATTTAACTGTCTTGCAGCATGTCCATAGGTGGTCCATATGTGTTGGTGTTGTTCAGCTTAGTTCAAATGTCATTTGCATTACTCTGTACAAGGCACAAATGATTCAACTCTGTATTTCCTTGGCTTCTTACATTATGATCATTTTAATGTCAGTAGTATTTTAAGCACAGATTTATAAACAAATTTTAAATTTTAAATAATATGTGAAAAAATAATGTAAAATTGTCTTTTACAATTGGATGCCACTGAAAATAGGCATTTATAGCTGAAACATGTCAGTCGTTATGACTGCTTATTGATTAAATACTCAATTGATGAGAAAATATTTTTGTGTTTAATTTATTGTAAATAGTACATCATTAATAGTCACCCATATTAAATGTATTACACCAAAAAACTACATACCTAGTAACTTGCTTTGCATATCTACGTCTATCAGGTGTGGCTGGAAATGTAAGTGTTTTATCCATCACCCAGGTAACTTGGCTGTCATATTTCTTCCCATAGCCTGTACAGAATAGAACTATCATTTATCATTCACTTAAGGATTTATCTATTAAAAATTACAAAAAAAATATATATGCATGAAGTGATTATATGTTTATAAATAACTAAATCGAATTTAGAGATAATATGAATATTCTGTTAACCAGAACTGGTTTACTAGTACAGCTCATCTTGCACTGAGAGGTTTCCAGTTTAATTCTTGGCTGGCTCATTTCTCCCAACCAAGAATCTTCATGAAGGGAGGCCATGGTTTGATTCATTCCTTCAAATTAACACACAATTTTCTCATCTCTTTTTCCTGTGTTAACTTGTGACTACTATATGGCCCCATTTCAATACATACTTTTTAAATGATACAAACTCCATCCCAAATGCAAACACTTGCAAATTTGTTTGCACTTGGGACGGAGTTTGTATCATTTATCGTGTAGAGTGCAACAGGATGCTTAAGTATAATATTGTAAACATACTTTTTATCATAAATTTTACAATATTTTGCCTTACCAAACTAAATTATTTTGTATTCAAAGAGTTCTGTCTTCAGGGTGTAACATAATGCAGTCCAGTGAAAGTCAACAAAAGTTTCAGAGAAACGTATAGCCAAAGTCTTCTGGGATGAAGTGTAAGCCAAGCAAGAAATCAGAATGAAGCAGGCACTAAGCAGAGCACCCTGCTTGTTGGCATAAGTCCTATGTGATGCATGGACTTACTTACATGAATAAACTGTAAAGATTCTTTCATTTTAATTAAATTGGTATGCTAACTTATCAGGACATTCAAACTAAACATCAATCACAATACTGAGATAGCAACCTAATATATGTAACAGTATTCCTGAAAAGTTAAACAAAACTTACCTATAAATCCTTCACAGAAAAATCTTGCTGTTTCTCCTATCTGTGCATATTGATAAGGTTCTGTTATGTAAGTGACCAAAGCAGGGCCCATGTATTTTATTTCAGCTGATTAAATAAAGAAGAGCAGTAATTCATATTATTCATTGTTCTTGATGAAGTTTTCTTGCTCAGTCTAGGATAAAAATTGTTACATAATCATGTGAAGATTACCCTCTGGGATGAGATACCATTTAGCCTGATAGAGCATACCAAAGTTTTTGAGGAACCTGCTGCCTCCATTAATGCTGGAGGCAGCAGGTTCCTCTGAAACATTGGTAACAATCTATCAGACTACAAGGCTTCGTATGCCTGAAGATTGTAATCTGTCACATAAGAGTTGTTAATGTCTTGGATACAAAGAGTGTTCAAAAGTTTGTTCATATATGCATTGATAAAATGTTTCATTGATGCCTAAATTCTGACAGTTGGATGAAAATGTCCATTACAGAGGTCATTTAAATAATTTTGTACTCTTTTATATTATACATAACACAATATTTTATAACCACAAAAGTCAAATGTACTTACGCATAACCTTCAACTGAATTTTACGCTGAATTTCGTTAATGCCATTGGAAACTTTGCAGGTGTAAGTACCGTTGTCCATATCTGTAACTCGAGTTGAAATCAGTGTCTGATTTTTTTCCCTTAGTTCATGAAAAGTAACATTTTTGTTACCATCTGAAATTATACGATCATCTTTATACCTGTAAGGCAGAATATCATATGAATACATCAACAAGGCTAAAACAGCTGAATTGAATTATTATTTGTTTAAAATCATTCTCATATTACTATTTAATAATTACGTGGAAAATAAAGGAGTTTGAATAAACAATCAAAATATAGGAAACAAATGCATAATAATTCAATTCTTTTTTCTCATAACAAGTCATTTCAATTCCATTAATAATTTTGCACAAACTGTCATTCCTAATTATTGGTCTGCACATTTCCTGCCTTCCTATATCTGCATTCAGATCTTCTCTTAAAAGAATTCTCACATGATGAGAATGTATTCTCCTGTACTTTATCAGAAACTGTAATTTATGACATAACTTTCATCATCTGTTAAGGCATGGACAGTTTTTTTAATGTTAATGGGGTGGGACTAAGTCCCTTATACTGCGGCCACTTCTGGCCTATTGTACCCGAACCCAGATGATTGGTGAGGGTGATGGTGGAGCAATTGGTGGAATGAAGATTGGCAGAGGAAACCAAAGTACTCGGAGAAAACCTGCCCCAACGCCAATTTGTCCACCACAAATCCCACTTGACCAGACCAGGGATCGAACCCGGGCCGCTGCAGTGGGAAGCCAGCGACTAACCGCTTGAGATATGGCGTGGCCCTAGGCATGGACATTTACAATATACTGTAACCCACATATCATTTTGAATAGATATGTAATTCTCAAGCTTGCCCTTCAAGATTGCCTACCCAATTCTCCTGCATATGAGAAACCAGACATGAGATGACAAACATCACTCTTTCTTCACAGGAAAGTTACTGATCATCACTGAGTACAATGTTTTTGCTGTTGTTGTTATTGTTGTTGTTGCTGCTGCTGCTGTTGTTGTTTTTATCATTATCACTGTCATCATTGTTAAACATATCTTGATTCAAAATTATATTTTCACAATCATGTTGATTTTATATTTTCAGAATATATGTCAATGGAAATATTTTTATGGATTAAAGAACCAATTAAAATCTCAAATATTTTCATAAAAAAGTGAAATCATATTATATAAGGTAATAATTAGGCCAGTCCTGACATACACATTGAAAACTTGGGTAATATCTTCATCTGATGAAAAAGATTTTCCTATCCTTAGGAGAAGAGTTTTGAGGTTCATATATGGCCCAGTCAAAGACAACAATGAATGGAGAATTAGGTACAATTATGAATTGTATGCTTTGTATGAACACATGGATATTATAACTTCTATGAAAGTGGGTAGGTTGAAATGGACTGGTCATGTAGTTTGAATGGACCAGCAATGATCTGCAAAAAGAATTCTTAATGTCAAACCAGAAGGCAGAAGAAAAATATGAAGGCCTAAACTGAGATGGAAAGGTGGAATGGGGAATGGTGATAAAGCTCTGGTGAAATTAAACTGGAAAAACCTAGCCAGGAATAAACAAATCTGGCAGAATCATCTAAGGAAGTTTACAACCTGTTTTGCCAATGATCATGTTATTGCTCCCTCTTTGCTTAAAACTTTCAAATTTTCATCCCTGGACTGTTTGTATGCATTATACTGTATCTTATGTTAGACAGATCAGAATTAGAATATACCTCAGCAGTATGACACTCTATCAAGTCTACTGATGACAAGCTTGAGTGAATCAAGCAAAAATTTTGTGTCCATCTGTTTCTATCATGTTTTCCTTTAGTAAGTACAATCTACAGGCCTACATCACTAATTCTACAATTATCATTGTAAACATGCCTTCATCATCATTCCAAATTTCATGTCCTATTTTCAATACGTACATCATACCAAAGATTTTTCAAATTTTTATGAAGGTAACAAAAAAATATATGTATACATCACTGCCATATTTTACTCATATTTTCTAAAAATAAAAATCACGTTAATAAAATTACATGAAATATTTAAAGATGATATATGGAGTGGTGATAATGTTACTTCCAATTCAAATGTTCACATGCCCACAATGTTACCAATGTCTGCGAATTAATTAAATGTTACAAAATTGGTGAGGTTTGCTCCATTATGCACAACAATTTTAACCAGCTGGGCTTTTTTTATGGAGATATGGTGTTTCCTATGGGGTAGGAATAACTTTTTTAAATATTAGTTACATAAATTTCAGTCTTCAAAGGATTACTCACCACATTACAAAAAGCCTTGATCCTGTGAAGAAAATAACGAGTTTAACATTTATCAGCATGCACCCTTTTGTATGTTTTCACGAAACAAGGTAAGGACCAGGGCATGTCCAAATGTTCTTAGCGTTTTCTTTCCCTCAGTAACTCATTTACAAGAGACAGCTAAACTCTTAGATTCAAGGGCGAGAGATTGTGGGACAGAATACGGCCATGTTATTAAAATGTTCAATTTTGTATTTTTAAAAACACTGTAGATTTTGTCTCAAAAGGTAATATTGACAGTTTTAAGCAGATACGTATATACACGTATTTTAAGTTGAATTTTATGGTGCTGTTTTTAGACTAGATAAGCAGCGAATGGTTAGATTGTTGACGAACGACGCACTATAAAGAATATAGAAGAAAGCCGTGTGGTCTAATGGAATTACCTTCCTGGAATTTACCAGAAGTGGCTGAGTAAAACCACGAACAACCTCAGGATAATCGGTATCCTGGACGACATTCGAACCTAGCACCGTCCAAATACAAGTCAAGAGCGTTACTCCATTAACCTGCTCGGTTTTAAACGGATTGCATGTTCAGTGAATAACCGATAACATTATAAATTATGCAAACTAATTTCTTTGCACTGATTCAATAAAACAGTTGTAGCGTTAAAAGCAGAAAACACGCTTGTAACACCGATCACAGAGGTGACTAAGCCAGTCCTTCTGCTACTGCCTATAGGATTTCCGAAATTCTATATGGTCTAGATTTGTCTGGTTCACGAGATTCCGAGAATTAGGGAAGTAGTGGCCTGTTTCACAAATTGTGCTCTAAAATATAAATGACGGAGGATAATATCTGAACTTCAGCAAAAACCACCACCCTCCTTGCTACTGAAACTCCGAAATAATGGCACTGAAAATCTGCATTTTTATAAGATGCCAAAACCACTGCATGTTTACTATTTGTGCTGTCTATAATATTCTTCAGCTTAATTTAATTTAATTTGTAATAAATTACATAGATTTGTAAGGAAATAATATTAGAACAATCGCATTTCATACTGTCCTACTTTTGTGTATAATTTATAAAATCCCTATTCAGCATGACCAGTAATCTAATATATTTATGGGGTGACGAACACAAATCCCGTCCCCTCCTCATGCTCGTTTGCACCGATGCAATTGATCCTCCCCTCCCACCATTAGCTCCTACACTCCAATACGCAAAATTATAACAGCTACATTTTCTGCCATGGTATACAAAACACATAGTAAGGAGTCATTTGTATTCTTGATTATTTCTAAACTTTTATTTTACCATTCGATCGTGTTATAGCCTTTTGCACAACAGGACAAACTTTTGTAGCGCTCAATTACAACGTAATCGAACGTGTTGATTTCTTTCGTAAATTCCAGCGATGTTTTATTTTTTTCAAATAAATTTATTTCGCAGAATCCATTTTCATTCTCTACACACATCACGTGATATGTGAATATTAAAATAACTATCTTAAAAAATACATTTGGCAGTTGGAATAGCTCTCCATTCATATTTCTCGACGCTTCCATCCTCTAAACAGTCTGCAACAGCACACCCAGTTCATCATACATCACAACGATTTACACCATGACACCATACAACTTGTCCGGCACTACATCGCACTATCTACAGCACGCTGGATCTACGTCCGTTCTGATTTATGATAAAGATGAACTTGCGGTTTTCCTTCGAACGTCGTGTGCAATGTACGCATGTGCCCTCAAGCGACTTCCTTGAATTTATATCAGTTTTAAAACTGCAGTTGGCAACACATGTCCTTGGCCTCTGCGTTACTCATTATTCCAATTAAACATAACTTATTGTCACCACATAAGATGACCACATTTTAAAAATAAAACATATGAGTACTAAGTATGTATGTCACTCTTCCCCGCAAAAAGGTTCACGAACTCCAATATCAAACTTGTCATCAGTTGAAATTATGGTAGCATACAGAAAGGTCCGTTGTATGAATTTATACAAAACCAGTGAATCACTCTCATCCTAAAGATGACAGCTGGTTTTAGGACGGCTCTTGCCCTCCCTGTCAAAACGATATTTCATTGTCGGTCCGGCATACAGGCCTGCGTGGGTACAGCGAACATCATTTGGATCCTGTGCAGTAACCGCATTCTATTTCATCTGCACAGATGAATTCCACGGTGCTGATCGGTGCTGATACATTAAGAAGCGTAAGAATTCTGGCTCGTTCACTCTAGTATTGCCTCCAGCCTTTAAAAATACCCTTTCTGTGATTCTGTACAGAAGAGATTACTTATTTTAGACAAACTGAATGTTTAAGACTACGATGAACTTTTCGTGTATAATGAACAAACATCAGTTTCATGTGAAACTATTCACTTTTAGTTGACACTTATTCAAACTGGCAGGTAAGAAATGGTAAAGTTGTCCCTGTGCTTAACTTATTAAGCACTACGCCATGAAGGCGTATGGTGGAGTGGATATAAAGATCCACTCAAATTCATGTGAAACTATTCACTTTTAGTTGATACTTATTCAAACTGGTAGGTAAAAAATGATAAAGTTGTCCCTGTGCTTAACTTATTAAGCACTACGCCATGAAGGTATATTGTGGAGTGGATGTATAGATAGTGACTTCGGCACTATTTGGAGGTGAGTGGTCAACTTCACGTCCCGGCTGCTTTACCCCCGTGAAAAAAGCCACCGGTACTCAGTGGTTAGGAGGTTGGGTGAACCCTAGAGCCGGTCCGAACGACGTGGAGAAAATTCTTGAACCTACCGGGACTCGAACTCCGACCCCGACTGGCACGTAGCCAGTAGCTATACCGACCGCGCTATCCCGGAAGAAGTCAAAATTATAGGATTATGTTTTTTTCTTGCGTTACCTAACAGCGCTTTCAATATCGAGACGGCATAGCGTCGGATGATAGGATGTTGGATAAATGATGACTTTGAAGGAAGCTGTCGTAACTAATCGAGGCACTGTCCAAGAATTTGCCTGGAGAAATTAAGGGAAAAGACAGAGAAGGAAAACTGTCAGAAACTCACCGAATATGTCTCTAGGGTGCTACCTCTGGACCATACTCTTCGATATAGGCCCGTACTGAATGAATAATCAGTCATTATTAAGACTTCGCTCTTACCTATTATTACACATACTATGGGAACATTAAATACATGGTGTTTCACGACTTTAGGGCATAGCTGCAGGAGGTGATTTCTCAGGTCTTTTTGATCAAAAAAGTTCATATAATCATGTGTCCGATTTTGGACGGTTACGGAGTTATGACCGTTTTAAACTCAGAATAGAAGGTAACGACTACTGGCAATAAATGGAATAAAATAATGAACCAGCATAATACATGATACATTTAAAGTATATGTAAAGTTAACTTCGTGAAATTACCTTTAATTTGAATTGACTGGTGCTTAAAGCTGATTTTCGAAAATGCCACCGCCGGCCGCAACACAGGCTGCCGCTTGGTTGTGAACCGCGCGGGTAGCACGTAGTAGCTTCAGCTGGCTGTTTCTTATGTGGTCAGCGGCGTCCAGAATGCGACCGAGCAAAGCATATCGCGTTACCACCTTCACATTGTAAACCAGTTCTTTCATCCATCCCCACACACAATAATCCAGTGGGCTTAAATCTGGAGACCTGGCTGGCCAATGGTGGGGACCGCAACGTCCGATCCATCGTCCTTCAGGAAATATGTAACTCCACGTGAAGAATGAGGAGGATCCCCGTCGTGTTGGAAATACATACGACTTCGTTTATCGAAAGGCACATTGTCCAAAAGTTGGGCAATTCCTCCTGTAGAAATCTGAGGCACGCCTCTCGTGTAAGACGACCTTCCAAGATGAAAGGACCCATCAGCTGATCGTCCAGAACTGCACACCACACATTGACACGGAAATGTTGTCGAAAGTTGCTTTCAACAGTGGCGTGGGGATTCTCATCTCCCCACAAATGAGAATTGTGTGTATTATTGACACCGTCGCGATAAATTGCGCTTCGTCTGTAAACATAATGTAACGATGCAAATGGCGACTGCCACTGAGCCACTTGCAAAAGTTCAGCCTCTCAGCAAAATCTTCAGGTCGGAGATGTTGCACTCGCTGCATGTGGTATGGATACATGCCATCTGCACGCAGTGTTCTCCACACTCTCGTGTGGGGAACACGAAGAAGTCTTGTAATTCTTCGCGTACTCGTACGTGGACTGCGGTGTACCATACGAACAATGCCTTCTTCATTGAGCCCTTCATTAACACCGCGCTCCGCTGCAATACGAACGCCGGGAAGTCTACAGGTATCTCGCAATGCCTGGTAAACTCCAGTAAACACTCTCTGGATCGGTATTCTACGATTCGGAAACCGTTGCTGATATTCAGCTACGGCAAGAACTGAGTTACCGTCACAAAACCCGTACGCATAAATCATATCTGCATACTCCTCAAATGAAAATGTAAATGGCATCGTGAACGTAACAGACGCACCGAGATGAGAACTGCTCTGAACACCAGTAGCCGCCACACTTGCCGTGGCCGGACATACCAACTCACCACGCCTTAGGTACCTCTCAAGTGTCGAGATAACGAGAACGCTCTGTCTGTAGGTGGCTAAAAATAACGACCAGCCAGATGATAGACGCGGTTCACACGAGGGCGTGTACGGGAATGAAAATACGGTCATAACTCCGTAACCGTCCAAAATCGGACATATGTTTATATGAACTTTGATCACAAAGACCTAGGAAATCACCTCCTGCAGTTATGCCCTAAAGTCGTGAAACATCCTGTATATGAGTATAATATAGGCTCCAAAGTAACACTGTAAAAAATTGCTTTAAAGAAATAAGAAAATCTGATTTGAACGCAGTCTAAAACAGTTAAGATTTATTTTTTTCTCAAATGCGATCATTTGCTGAAATAACTGACACATTTATTTTCTTGCAGATTTATCTTTTATGATCGAGAATAGAAGACTTCCGCAGCACCATCTTTTTATTTTACTTACACACAGATCTATATTTATGTGTGTGTATGTATATAAATATATGTTGGATGAAGCTCCTACGACTCGCAGGGTCACGGTGAAGGTATTCGACCCCGCCTCCACACGGAGTGGGGTACTCCAGAGTCAGAGTCAGAGTTACTTTACGACTGGCGGTTTACCGCCAATCAGTTCGTCTTGGCATCAAGCCCCTTGAGGTCCACGACCAGAGATTTATTTTTTTCCAACTGAACTCTTGCGGTAATAGCCCTTATGTAACATCCTCTCTGACGAGATGGGTCTGTCTCTTATGAATACGTTCGACCTTTCGTCAAGTGTATATTTCGCACATATAATATGTTATCGAAAACTCTTCCTTTTGCTTTACTCACAAGTCCTCTGTCGGTACAGGCTTTACAGAGCAGATCATGCCTAACTTGCAGATCTTATGCTACAATGAAAACTTAGTCGTTTGAACGGTCATAAGCTTGACCACCGCCAAGTTTAAGCCTCTTATATTTTCTGTGTCTGGCTTTACCTTGTCGTATACCACGAACATGTTCATTACTATGATTTTGTATGACTTAAGTCAAAGTCTTATTACGACTGACGATCAGCCAGTCAGTAATTTTTGGTATCGAGCACCCTCCTGGGGCTCATGACCAGATATTTATTACTCCTCGACAGTTACGGACTTGTTTCTGTGGGGCGCCCCCTCTGACGAGAGGATGGGTCTGTCTCTTGTATATGCTGTGGGGCTGTTTCTCTTATAAGCCATCAATCGGACAGGCGGAAAGCGCAGCTTGCTTCACTGTTGCGTGACGCCGTGTTTACAGAGGTATTGCTTGGCAACACTGCCCAGAGTTGTTTACTGCTGCGTAGCAACCATCGCGCTTCGGCTCGGCACGGAGGAACACCGCTTTCCATGCTGCTGCGTAACTTGGCAACCGACCGTTTATCAAGGGTGTGTCTTCGTGGTAACTCGTTTCACATCCATTTTCCCCAACAACGGCTTGACATGTCACAATATGTTCCATCACTTTAAACGCAAATGTTGTATCTTACGCGTTCGCAATGGAAATTTGCAATATTGAACCTATTATCTTTGTCATTAAGAATGAAGACTTTAGAGGAATGGATGCTTAGCGCCATGCTGTCTTAACGTCGGCATTACGTAAACGTAGTATCTAGATCTATAAGTTTATAATCGACGGAGTTGAAAAAAAAAGTCTTGTAGGACACGTAACTGTGCTTACAGTTATAGTTTCTAGACATTATCCATCGTTGCGTGTTTTAAATAAAAGCAGAACGAGAGATACATTTCAGAAACACGATTGTGTTCGCATACCGTTGTCACATACTTTTAGATCATATGACTACTTGTTTTGCACCAAATTCATACACGGATTTTTTACGAAGGTGGTATGTTTATAACTATTCGTTTGCCGTCATTCAAATGATTCAATTCATGTAGCTATTCGGATATTTTCGTTCTGTTGTCATAGTCGAATAAATCATTCAAATGATTCATTCGATAACTCGAATAATAATTCGTTATTACGAACAATTCGATAGTGCCCATCCCAAGAGGCAATGAATATACATAAAGGACATTAACCTACTTGAATTATTGCAAGCGATTGCGACCGAGACTGCGACCATTACGAGGGGCGGAAAGGACCAGGAAGTGTAATAGTGATAAGACGCAGTTGACTAACATGTCCTTATAGATTTTTAAGGGTTCTGACGACGGTGTATTACAGAATTATTAGTTTTAGAACTTTGTCCATCGTCGGATACTCTAAAAACTAGAGTAGGTTTCGGAAGCTGGATCTGTTCCCATCCTCGAGGTTAGCGCTCCCCTCCCCTACGGACGGAAATAGATTCGGTTTCCGAAACGTTGTGTTCGCTAGATTTTAGAATACCGGACGATAGACAAGAGTCCGCAAATTCTTGAGTCCTGACATGTCCTTATATTCCAAACAGCTGTCACCGGATTTCTGATTCCTCTTGCTTAAAACAAACCTGCTGTGACAGCATTTTCCCACACACAGATGTCACCGGATTTCTGAGTCCTCTTGCTTAAGACAAAACTGTTCTTGTAGCATTTTCCGACACATGGTGGTTTCCGTAGTCTCTAACCGACTGTCACAGGAGAGATAGGAGAGAAAGTCACAGACGTCACAGCTAAAGTAGAGATGAACTGCGAATTACGAGTAATATGTGACTCTCCTTGACCACAGAACCTTGACTAACCCAAGTTCCATGGTGACTGTACTTTTATGACTTGGTAGTAGGTAGGGTTGGTAGGAGTTAATGGTTATTTGTATAATTTGTATTTTATTCTGTTATTTAGCTATGTAGCTGTGTAGTACGTATAGGTGTTGGTGAGACGACGAGGGCGGTCAGTTTTGCTACAGGGACAGTACGTACTGAAGTTTCATGAACGAATTTCTCTTTTAAGAACTTCTCATTTGAAGTATCGGAAAGTCTTTGTAAAACACTGAACATGGATGGTACTGCCAAGGTAAGTCACCGACAGGATTTACAATATAATATAGTGTGATGTGTAGAGTGGTAAAGCTATAAAAACTTAATTAATTAAGTACCACGTCATGGAGGTCTTATCGGGGAGTGGAGGTATAGTTCCGCTATTCTTGATCTCTGTACTAGATGGAGGTGAGTTGTCAACTTCACGCTCTGGCCACTTCATCCCCGGGAATGCGCCCCCGGTATCCATTGGATAGGAGGTAGGGTGGTCTTGATACGAGCAGAGAAAAACACTTGCCCCCACTGGGAATCGAACTTCGGCCATCCATCCCATAGCCTGTCACAGTACCAACTGAGTTATGAATGTAGTGTAACGGCTTTCAGACAATCAAAAATGAAGCAGTTTTATTGTTATACTTTAAGAATTGAGTGCCTGCTTTTTGTAGCTTGTTTTTAATGTGTGGTTTGTAATGTAATGTAACGTAAAACTTTTCAGATAAGTAAATAAAAACAACTTTAAGGAAATGTTTAAAGGAACAGAAGCCTTTCAACTTTCTGATGCTAAATTTGTTATAGAAACCTACTAATATGAAGTACTCCCAAGTGGCCCTTCATAATTTTAACTGTCCAGTGATGTGTGTATGGAGGTACAGTCTGTAATTTTTGGTGGAATGGCAAAGTTGTCCCTGTTCGTAACTAATTAAGCACTACTCCATGAAGGCATATGGGGGAGTTCATGTATAGATCCACATTTTTTTGACCTTTGCATTAGCTGGAAGTGAGTCGTCAACTTCATGCCCTGGCTGCTTTACCCCGCCCACTGGATAGGAGGTTTGGTGGACCTCAGAGCTGGTCTGGACGACATGGAGAAGAGAAAATTCTTGACCCTACCAGGACTTGAACTCTGACCCCTCGGTCATTCAGCTCATAACCAGTCACTATGCTGATTATGCTATCTTGGCTACCCTTTTAATTTTTTATTCATTGTAAAATACACTCTGATTACTGGAATAGTAATAAGAAGACAGATCATTTTATGACTTCTGGTAATGCTGTATTCCGATATAAAGTGATCAAATAGTCAAACAGGTGTGAAATATTGCTTTTTAAAAATAATTCTGACAAGTAAATAACAGGAAGTTCAGTTTTTAGAATAAGAGAAAATACTATCAGTTTGATTGCAGTAACAACTCATAACCAGTAGCTGGAATCTTTTTCAGAATAATATTTAAAATTTCCCAAGTCCAGGAGGAAACAGTCTTGGTCAGTTGTACTTTTGCAGTGTTGATCATCTCACAGTACAACTGGCAGTAAGAAGTTTCTGATCATTATTAATCATTATGATTTATCTCCCAGCCATAAATTTTAAGTGTTGTTTTATCTCTTTTAGCAGCTCTTACTTTTTGATCAAACATTTTCAAAACTGTTGCCCTTTCTGTAACAATTTTTTAAATTCTTCCTCTTTTTTGGAACAGTAACTAATTTCATTTCTTTTATTTGTATAATTTCAGAAGATTTTTGGCTTGCAGTATTACTCCTGAAATACTTTCAAATACAAATTGAAGCCAAAATTGTGAATAATATCATGATATCCTCAAACAGAAATACACATTTTGCTGCCCTACTCTCTTTGCTTGCCAATTACTAAAATACTGTGTGAGCATCAAGCAGTTATTGTAGTGTGTTAATATGTCTTGTTTGTGTAAGATGGAGCTTGGAACAATAAGCCAGCACTATATCTATGTCTCTCATAATTGCACCTATGCCTGCAGACAGCTAGCACAGGTGTAGAGGAACTGGCTAACAAGCTTGTGATGAGTTTGCTAGCTGCCAGTATGAGCCACAAAAGTAATACTTTGTGTTTCACAATTAAACAATTTGAATGGATTTACACCTGGAATTTTATGTGGTTTAAATGTTACACAGTTCCAAAAATGAGTTTTTTGTAGGAGAATATGAAAATATTTATTTTTTATTATAACGTAACCATTTTTCAGGATACTGATGGAGCACAAAAAAGAAACTCTCTTGAAGATTTAAACAAAGAAGATCTAATCAAGAAATGTAAGAGTTTGCTGGTTATTGCTCAGAGAGCAAAACAAGCAAAAGATGGTAAGATCTGGGGATAGTTTAGAAAGAATTGATGGTTTATAGTTAACACAATTAGAAGAAAGTTATAATTTTCTGGTTACTTTAGGGTTTTCTGTCTATTTTAAAAAGACTTTAGTGTTGCTATGAAAACCTTAGATCATATATGCATGCATACATCGCTTAATTATTTGGACAGTTTATTATCCAGGTTGCCTGTCACAGTATTCAAATGTCCTTGAGTCTTCACATTCTTCTGAATAGAGAGTCTGCTAAAACATTTTAAGAATGTAGTAAATATAACCTGTATCTTGAAGCATGAAGTAAGTTATTGCACTGCACATGATCAAAATATTATGTTATTCAGTACTTATGCATTAATGAATAACCCAGGTAACTTTAAAGTTCTTGGGTCATCAGTTAATATGTGTGTGGGAACTGCCCACATTCAAGCGAGTGTGACAACGCAAGTAACATTGCTTAGCAACAGCTGTTTACTTGCTGTTTCTAAGCAGTGATACTTGCGTTGTCACATTTGCTTGAATGTGGGCAGTTCCCACATGTGAGTACCTATTCTGATAATTTATGTAATTTTCTCATTCTAGACGCTGGGAAAGAAATTATACGACTAAAGGAGCAGCTTAATACTTTGCAGATGCAGGCTGAGCAGGTTCATAATGGAGAAAGATACTCTGATACAGGCAGGAATGAGAAAGAATTGCAGTTGCAGAATGAAGTCAGTGCAATGCAAGAAATGCTCACTACCCTCACTGAACAGAAGCTTTGCTTTACCATGGAAGTGAGTGTTGCTGTTAACACTCAGTTTAAACCTAATCTATATAATCAATGAAGTACTGGCTTGTGTTATTACCATTCTCCCTATACATTATAGAGCCAATATTGTCTACAGTGGTGAAGCTGCAATCCATTTATTGGGAAAGTAATTAAATGTATGAGAGAGAGCCAGAAGTTGAATGTGTTTTGTGCTTTGTGCAAAAAAATAGTGTTCAGGCCTTCTTTCTATCCTGAACTTAACTGTGAATGTCATAGTGTGCCTAGACATGTAAGAGAAATTATGGTTCTGCTACAGAAATTAATGTATTTTGGAATCGCTACTAATTGACTAATAATTATCCTATTCTTCATCTGTGGCAGTTTTAATAAGTACCCTAATCTCTTTTAGTTAGTGTGTTGTAGTAAGGGTTAGTGTGAAACCTGGTCTTTGACATTAAGGGTGGAACAGAGACTGAGGGTGTTTGAGAACAAGGTGCTGAGAATATTTCCACCAAAGAAGGATGACATAATAGGAGGTTGGAGAAAACTACATAATGAAGAGCTTCATAACTGGTACTGTTTGTCAAGTGTAGTTAGAATGATCAAGGCAAGGGGGTGCGATGTACAGGGTGTGTAGCATGCATGGGGAAAACAGGAATGAATTTAGGATTTTGGTGGGAAAGTCAAAAGGAAAGAGACCACTAGGAGGATGTAGACCAAGGTGACAGGATAATATTAGAGTGGATCTCTGAGAGACAGGATGGAGTGGTATGGACTAGATTGATCTGACCCAGGTTGGGGAACAGTGGAGGGCTCTGGTGAACACGATAATGAACCTTCGGGTTCCATAAAATGTTGGGATATGCTTGAGTGGCTGAGCTACTGGTGGCTTCTGAAGAAGGGTTCACCTCCATGGAGTCAAGTCAGTTGGGTGGTCAGTCAGTCAGTTGTATTAAGGGTTATAATCATCTTTTTTTTTTGTCTGGAGTTATCTTGTGACCTCACCGGTAGTTTATTTACAGTTATTTATTACTTGAAATATTTCTCTGCTATCATAAGGTTTCCAGAACTTCCATTTGCATCAAATAAATCCGTTTGTTTTGGGTTTTGGGGATGTTCAGAACACTTCATTCAAGTTACAAGAAATTAAAAAGCTGGTAAAGAGCCACATCATTAACCTTATCTGAACATTGATATCTGCCAGATTTAGTTATTTTTTTTGTGTATTATCCCACTCCTTCATTAAATTAATAATTAATTACTCTAGCATCATACTTTGTGGATTCAGACCGACTTACTTGCTCTTGTGTTATTTCGGTGTATCATTCATTTTCTGTAGCCCATATTATATTGTGACAGGTGGATAAACTGAAGAAAGAGAATGTAACATTGGAGAAAGAGTTGAATCAATTAAAACTGGAAAAGGCTAGTGTTCAGGAAATTTCAGCCCAACTGCATTGTCAGTTAGGAGAGCTAGAGACAGCTGCAGAGAGCTATAAGCGACAGATTCATCGACTAACGAATGAAAATGAAGCTTTAATCAAACAAATGGAAAGGCTGGAAATGGAGATGAAAAAGAAGGAAGACCAGACCTCACGTAAGAGAGTTGTTCATTTTTATCCTGCATTTCTTATTTGTACTGAAAGGTTAGAGTATTTGATTGTATCTGTGTGTGTGTCTGTGTTTATTCCCAGTCAGAAGTTTTAAACCAGAGGATTAATTTTTATGAACTCTCATTTGAGCATCAAACCTATCACTCCACTTCTGGACTTTTAAATCCTATATCATAAATAGTGCTATTTTGGTGGCAATGCAAACTTCTGAAGTGCAAGCAACACTAAGTCATTTCTGTTGCACTATGAAAGAGACAAGAGAACTTTATAAAGACGGTATTTTTGCGCTCGGTTCGTCATGTTTCAATTGTGTCTCAAGATTGGGTTAATTTGAGTCTTCCAGTGTCTTCATAATAGTTCATAAACTTGACCTGAAGCCATTTACATTATTCATTGTAGCATCTTCTGGATATAACATTATGTGAGGGACTAAAAATACTACCAGTGTTTCAGAGGAGCCTGGTGAATCCTTTATCAGAATCAGAGTGATAAAATCAGATAAGACTTTGACTCTAAGATGGTGACATATTTCTTGAAAAGAGTGGTACTTATCTTGAACCCACTTATACAGTGTTGTACTAAAGACAACACTATGAACAGTGTTGACATAAACCTCAAATGCCATGAATGGGTTGTGTGTAAAATGTGAAGCAGGGTTTAACAGATGTTAGATTTAGGGGTTAACATATGTTGGATTTGAAGTTATTGTGGCAGTTACTTTGGAGGTGAAATCCTCTAATTTTAACGCAGTCCTTTTTCGAGAGAGAGTAGTGTTTCAGAGGAATGTATTGCTGATATCTTCAGGGTTGAAGAGTAAGCACAGCTAGAAAGCAACAAAACCAGCTTTCCACCTGCTTCTGTTGGTTTCTTGCTAGGTTTTCTCTTTGACCTTGAAGATGGAGGAAGTATGTTCCCCTGAAATGTTGAACTCTATCTCAAATATAAGACCTTACAGTCCAGACAACCATACTCTTCATGGTTAATGTAGATTTAATATTGCAGTGCTCTGATATGATCTTGAATTGTTCACAGTTACTTTATATAATCAAAAATGTCATTATTTTTTTTTAATTGAAGCTGGATGTACGGACTGATTGTAGTTTAAAGTGATATTTTATCCATTTGTTTGTTTCTTATGAGACATAATTTCTGTTGTTTGTTGACTTGTATAAGTTATCTTACCAAGGGCCCTAATAGTCTGTGATTTTTGGCCTGTGGAGCTGAAGATCCTTGATTTGAGACCTACTGAATCTAGTATTAATTATTCAAACTGCTTCCCAAATTTCTTGCTTCTGACAAAGTAAAAGTTTGCGTGTATCTCCACTGTGATTGGGTCCCACATTCAGCTATACATCCCCACTTTACTGTGATCCTTTCATCAAAAGCAAAATGAAAATTTACCCACTGGGATCTGTCACTGTGGATTCATGCCTTTGTTGTAGCCTGTAGATAGAGGCAGATGAAGGTGTTCAAGGGCCATATGTGAAAACATAAATTACAACATGCCAGGTACATATTTAATTTATAGGATTTCTGTTGAACTGTGGGGTTAAGAGCTCAAGTTTCATACCAAAACCTTGCACAAGAACTGGGAATTCTGAGCTTGTTGTGTTGATCTTGACAATAGAGAACCTACATAAAATATAGAAAAATCATGTTGTTACTGTTTTGGCCATGATGGGGCAACACCGATGATTCTGTTGGTGCGTGCCAAAGAAGTAAACATCACATACTTTTCTAGTTTAAATAAATATATACTTTTATTTATTTTGAAATTCAGTAATTACAGTTTGATTTTTAGTAGAAGTGAGCCACGACCAGGTGAAATTATTAGAGGGTGAACTACAGATGTTACATGATGAAGTAGAGCGTCTAAATGGGGAGGATGCTCAGAAGAAAGAACAAATGAAGCAGTTGTATGAAACTTTCAGCAAAGAGAAGAGTGAACTGAAGAGAAGTCTAGAAAATGTAAGTGCTTAGAAACTGAGTGCTATTATTGTTAGAATTCTTAAAAATTCTTATAGTGACAGTTATTTGAAAATTGTTGAAATATGTAACTATGAGCCTTTCCTCTAACTTTGATTACCCATAGTACAATATGATACCAAGGTTAAAATAGCAAAGTGAGTTCAGCAATATTTCTTCTACTCTGAAATGATTACTACAGAGATGTGAAAATTAAAGAATAATTTGCCATTGTCATTACTGTTAATTCAACCAAAGAGTTAAATGTTTTCTTAAATTTGCATAAATTCATCTGTTTGCAACCAACTGCTAATTTGGAGCCATCCTTTTCAGTCTGATATCCTGCCCACTATTTGCTGTTTGCTCACAAGTACATGTCATCCATATTCTGCTCACGGTTTGCTGCATGCTCACATGTCCCATCCACATTCCACCCAGAATTCAGTTCATGTGCACACTTGAGAATGAACGGATCGGTTTGTATCAGACTTGAGTAACACATGAGGAAGTCTAATCAAACCAGTACTTATGTACATACCAATATATGCAACTTTTTGACATTATGTACATCAGCAGTGATCGTGAATGAGGCATTTCATTTAACTGTAAAACACTTGATATGGCAGTAGCACATAAACAGTACATGATCCATTGGTGTTTATTTGTCCTACCACACGACACATTTATGTGACCACATTCATGATGAAAGTAACTCTCTTTACAAGACCTGACTGTGTTTTGCTCTTATGCCATCAGTATACAACACTGGTTACTGTTCACTCCTCATTTTTCTCTATTGGCACTGCATTTTTCAGCCTAACTGGCTATCTTCAGGTGTACAGGTTGTTGAGATGAACTCTGCTGATTACTATAAAGCTGTTTTGTTTCTCTTATATAGTTGCCTCAGATTACTTCTGGTTACGTGGGTTAACCATCTATTTTATTTAGGTGTCTTGATTTGCATTTGTTTGCCATGTGGTGTAGTTTGGTATGTTGGCTGTGGCTCTTTTGAATATACATGCTGGGACAGTGACAGTGGCCTTTATTTTACAAGGTGCCTGGGTAGGGTCCATACCATCTGTAGTTAGATCAGAATCTAAACAGTTACCACCATGAAAATCTCAAAACGTATGGCTTTTTTGTACTTCATAAATTAGAAATGAGCGGGAGTGCAAACTTGGAATACCCGAGAAACTTGTTCGTTGGTTGATTTAATGCACAGAACATGGACAAACAGTAGTCATTGTATTTCCAGTCTACAGAGTCATGAATATGATTTTATTTATTACTTTTATTCCAAAGTATGCAAATTTTGCCACATTTTCAAAAGAGTTGTTAGAAAATGTTACATTAGGGCTTCCTATAGATGACAGAGATAAAATTTCATCATAGAATAGCCAGTAAACATGTACAGATCATCAGTGCAATTCAGAGATAAAGGGAACAGTTTTTCCCCAAAAATACAGAAATATGAAATTACACATATAATTGGCTGTGTCATCTGCAAAAAGTCGAAGACTGTTGAATGACCTCAGAGGTTTGGCAACACCACCAACAAGGAAACTGAAGGCATGGAAGATAGTTAAACCAGACTCAGGATGTGGAACAAACCAGTAGGATCCATATGGCACAGTTGATGACTTTCTTCTATACTGATGTGGATACCAATGTGTTTCGTGTACTAACATGATTGTTAAGGGCTGCGCCATAGCTCAAGCAGTTAGTCGCTGGCTTCCCACCATGGTGGCCGAGGTTCAATCCCGGGTCTGGTCAGGTGGGATTTGTGGTGGACAAAGTGGCTGTGTGGCAGGTTTTCTCTGAGTACTTCGGTTTCCCCTGCCAATCATCATTCCACCAATTGCTCCATAATCACCTCGCCTATCATCTGGGGCTGGTTCAATAGGCCAGAAGTGGAGATTGATTCCTGGAAGCTAACTGTTTACAAAACACAGTTTCCATGGGTACAGAATCTGAAAGTTGGAAACACTTAGAAAACCAAACTCTCGCTTGGGAATTAACACATGGATTCTGAGACAACTCATTCATGAAGAAAAGTAATGGAACCCTTGGAGGCGGTGACTTCTATGCTGGCCACAAGGCAGTTATAGAAGGCTGTGCATTTTTTAATTTAACAGTAGTAGGGATCAGTCCAAGTATAGATTTGAATTCAGACAGGAGTGAAGTTCAATGTGTGAGCTGTTATAATTGACTGTAATTGTAGAAAAGTGTCAGTAAACCCAATCATCAAATTGAGAACCCATTATTGTTATTAGTCACAAATCCTTACACGTGACAGTACCTAGCTAATTCTTCAAATAGTACAGGATTTAAACTTTCATCCTTCTTTCCTTCCAGGAAACAAGACAGTTCCAGCAGATGAGATCTGGGCTGATATTGTTATCCTCAGAGGCTTATGAATTGAATGTCCTAAGGATGAGACTGTCAGAAGAGGTTCGAATGTTCCAGTCTGATGTGTTTAACATGCTGCAGGAAGATACATGGATTGCAGTACAGAAGGTTGTGATGAATTATGTTGAGTCAGAAATAGCAGCCACTAAACGGGAAAATTCTGAACTTCTTGGAGAAATGAATGAAATGAATCAGGTATAAACATGCATTTATATCTATTCATTTCTTTCTTGAAATAATTAAGATAAAGATGAAAAGTCACTTGGGAAATTAAAGTTCACAAGTTGGCCATGTTATAGGCCAACTATTATAAGGTAGGGATGTGTTGATGTTATCAACATTTGTACTTTCTATGTACATGGTATTGTGAATTATTTTGTTTGGTATTTTATTTTAAGGGTTATTTTTTTCATTTGTATTGAACTGTGTTTATCTTTCTTCTACAAAGTTTGTATTAATTTAGGTTATGTGTTGTAGGTTTTAAAGCATCGTGGTGAAACTGTTTCAAAATTGAATGAACTGAACAGTGAACTAGAGCACAGATTGAAAGAAACAAACAGCAAGCTTGAAGCAACTGAAAAGGACTTAAAAGTTAAACTTTCAGAGTTAGAAATAAAAGGTAAAGCATTATGTGATTTGGAAATGGATCTTGCCAAAGTAACAAAAGCTCAGCAGGAAGATATGCATATGAAAGATGAAACTATTTTCACATTAGAGAAAGAGATTGTGAAATTTATGGAATGTCAGCATGAATTGGAAACAAAGACATCAGCACTGGAAGCTAAGGAGGAAAGAATACACAATCTTGAAGCAGAACTGGCTAAACAAGTTGACACACTGCAGGAGCTAAAATCTAAGGACAAAATAATAACTGACTTAGAAGAACAGATAAGAAATCTGAAAGTTGTGAACAAAGCTGGAGACAGGGAAGAGGATGGATGTAGTACTGAAGATTGTGAAATGAAAGTGAAGTTGCTTAAAGATGAGATATCAACACTCAAAGGAAAGCTTCAGGTGTTGGAACATGAGATTGAAGAAATGCGCAAAGAAAATGGTATGATATTAAGGAATATATTAGTGTCTAAATATTAAGTCTGAGGGAGTTTCCCATGCTTAGTAACATATACTGTCCTCTGCAGTCAAATGAATGCATGGAAATCAGCCTTACCCTGTGCAAATTACTATAACATTATTGTACACCATACTGCTTTCACACGATATTACAGGATATACTGGCTGTAAGCTGCAGTCAGACTTTGTTCCTAAGACTCACTATGTAATAGCTTCTTGAAAATATGTTTGAAATTAGATTAAGTATCATGTTTGTAGTACCTAGAATTACCGAGTTCTTGTACCTTCTCCGTCATCCTGACTATGAACGAAGCCCAAAAACTCAGTGATCCTGAGTGTTACATACCATCATCAGAACTATTTAGAATCAACTATGTTAGTATCTTCCTCAAGATATATGCTGTTCCCAGTATCGGGATCTTCTGCAGTTCTGTCACTGAGTGCCACCCAGAAATATATTTTGAATAGTAAATCTTTATATTTCAAAATATTGTCATGTGTTGGGTATATGTCACGTGACAAGTAACTTCATGCCTTATTTGATATAGTGAATATATTGCACTCTTGCTCTTACACTTATACAGTTTACAGTTTTACGACTACTGCCATCTGCAGTATCACACTTACTGCTGCCATTCACTAGATAACAGTTGACTTCAACCCACCCAGGCGAATGCTAGACTGCAATTAGCTGGTTACTCTCTCTCTAGTAACTGGTTCACTAATCACTCACTCTCTCCACATACTGCTCAGCCGGCTTTCTATACTGTTCGCTGTTGCCTTGTTTTACAGTGGTGTCCCCTCTTACATCACAGTGGGAAGTGCTGTTACATCACTGCAGGGGAGGGGGGTGCGGAGTGTTTACTGGCCTGTTACCCTAGCAGTGGCAATGCTCCGATGTTACGTCACTGCTGGCAGGGGAGGGGGTGTCCTGCATAGCACAAATACGTCACAATATCTTTTTAGCTGATTTCTTTAGGACATTTTTAACAGTTTATATAGAAACATTGATCAGTGAACTTGTTTATATTCTGTCTCATAGTGTGATGTCAGGTTTGTTAAGTTGCATGAAAATTTGTAGCCAGGAGGATTAAAGAGATCTAATCTGTATTGCTAAATGAGAAGAAATGATTGTGGTTTATGATTTAATTATTTTCCTTCAGGTGATGTGCCAAGTGAAGTGATGAGTAGCAGTACTATTAGTAGGGCAGAAGAGAATGCTAGACTGAAGGATTTGGAGGAGACATTTGAAGAACGTTACACCAAGGTAAAATATCACATCACTTGCAGACTAAAGTGAGAAAGGGTAGAGAAAATGTATGGTAAAATTGTCTTAGAAGTCCATATAAATTTAGTCCAGGAGAGAAACAGTATAAGTAATAAACAATTTGCAAACAGTTAATTACTTGTAGCGATTAAGAAAAGGTTAGTTACATGGGAGTTTATATTTTACATGTATGTGTTATATATTGTGTTGCTCTTCTGTGTGTAATAATAGTAAGACTAGTTTATTACAGCTTCGCGCTGTTGCTGTTCGGCTGAAAAAGAGGGTGTCTGAATTGACAGCACAGCAGACACATCTAGAGATGGAAAAGAAAAAGCTGGTCTCTGACAAGTCTGAGCTTCAGGCCAAAGTAGCTCAGCTTTCAGCTCATGCAAAAAACTTGCAGGTCAGTGTTGCAGTCAGAAGAAGGTTTGACAAATCCAGACACCAGGTCATGTATAATGTCATAGGTTAGTGACTATACATGGTTAGGACTGAAAACTGAATTTCTTTGGATGCTCATTATTCTTTGACTGCAGATAATTACAACACTTTTCCTTCTTTTCACAATTTACAAATAACTGCAGCACATTTCAAGTCCCCCAGTCTGGTGTCTTTTCACGCTTTACAAATAACTACGGCACATTTCAAGTGCCCCAGTCTGGTGTGTCTTCATGTACTCTGCTTGAGTATGGCCTTCTATAATGGGGACGCTCCAAAATGTTTCTGTGCTCGACAGCCCCCACCACATTCAGTCATATGGGTTGAGTAAATTGCTTCTGGCCCTAGACAACACAGTCATTCTTGGTTCCAGGTCCTGCAGGACTCATGACCTTACTTTGCTGTGTCATGACTCTGGGAGTCATGCAGCTACCACCTTCTTCTCGGTTGGTCAGTTGGTTAAATTGCTGCTGGCTCTCTGCAACACAGTCATTCTTGGCTTCAGGTCTTGCTGAGATATGTGATTAAGATTTTTGTTCTCTTCTAGACATGTCTGTGTTTAGCAGTGGGGTCTTCTTGATGAGGGAAGGAGTTGATCTCTCTGTGTAGGTGCTATGCTTAGATATGTAGCTTCAGCATGAGCTCACTGGCTGTCTGACTTAAATGCTAAATTGTGACTGGCCCTTGCCAGGGCAGTGATTCTTGGTTCCAATCCCACAGGACTCGTGACGATATTTTACCATTCTCCGGTCTTGCTAGCTCTCTTTATATAGCTTATCAGTGATGGATTAGAAAATGCTGCCTCCATCAGTTTCTGTACTGTTGTGCACGAATTTTTTGCTGAGGGAAGGTGTTTTAACAAGCTGTTGCTGTGAATGCCTTTGTGACAGTCCTGTGATTACAGAATTCTTACGTATAGGGTGTCATGTCACAGTATTAACATATATTCAGGCATATGAATTTACATAATCCATGTAGTCTGGTCATTTTGCAGTGACAGACACAGCTTCATGCTTAAGTTTTTGATAGTTCAGTGCTTTCTGCATAGAAAAATAAAAGAAGCATGTTATGGTATCTAGAATGCAGTACAGCTGATTGCAGCTCTGCTGGTTGTATGTATCGATATGCAAAGAAAGCCACTGAGTGAGAACATAATACTATAGTAATGGACAATGGGAAATGTTCATGTACTCGTATAGCATAAAATAATGGTTCATGGCGTCATTGTGTTAATGTTCCTTGTGAGAGCCCCATGATTCAAGGAATTCATAGTGTTTAGATTAGCATTTAGATTGCTCCTTCATCTCTGGCTCTTAATCTGTGTGCAGTCTCTGTTTCCATTTTGGAGGGTGCTGACCCCTCCACATTGTCTAGTCACTCATGTTTCAAATCCTGAAAGAAGACATGACTGTTTGCTTCATGATTTCCAGCCTGATGGTTTTTCTGAAGATCCTGCCTAATGTCCTCTCCTTCCTCAGATGTAGTTGCTTCTTTAAGTCTTGGTCCTTTATTCTTTTGATGCCTTCTAGTTTTGCCCAACATCTCTTCCCAAATGTCTGTCCTTTCTGTGTTCTTGGTACAACCTTGTCCTTGCCTTGTCCCTTACACTGTACAGGAATGGCATGGTTGGCCATCCCTTTGCAGGTGGTGGCGAACTTTTTTTGACCCATTGTTGCCCTGACTTGCTGGAGACTGATTTCCAGCAGGGTATTACAGGTTGTGTTTTCACTGTAAGAGTTTTATGGGGATGCACATGTGTAAAAGAAAGTCTTATTGTGCTGCAGATGTGGTATTTATACACAAGAGGATAATTTGAAACATTCAGTTAATATTGTTACCACTTTTCAAAATATGAGGTTTTTGTTCTAAGTGGCTATAGGCTGAATGACTGAGGGGTTGAAGTTTGAGTCCTTCTAGGGTCAAGATTTATCTTCTCTCCATGTCATCCAGATGGTTCTAAAGCCCATCCAGCTCCTCTCCAATGGGTAAGGGGGGCTCTTTCCCAAGGATAGGTTTGCCAGGGCATGAAGCTGACCATATATCTCCAACTAGTACCAAGGTTAAGAATAGAAGGAGCCATATACATTCATTCCCCTTTACATCTTCATGGTGCAGTGCTTGGTTAATTAAACACTGGGCAGAAGAGCACATTATTGCACTTGAAACTATTCTGCCAGCTGTATAGCGTGCTGCAACATAAGTTTTGTTTCCAGATATTTCACAACAAAAAACAATTGAAGCCAAAAGTAGGAAATTAGGTCTTGGGTTTAACAGATCTGTAGATTAAAGAATTGAAATTTAGCATACTGTTGAAAAGTGTAAATGCAGTGAATAATGACTAACATACAGATGACTTGCTTATTTGCACTAAAAATGATATGATTAATCAATAAATCTGCAAAGTCCTTTGGGGTTTGTTTTAACAGAATTTCATTACTTCATTATGTATGTACAGGGATTCTTCACTTTGATTTGACAGTATTTTTGATTATGCCATTTTTTTTTTAATTTGGAACATTTTTACATTTCTGCAAGACAGATTCATTCTGAACCGTTGGCTTTGTTAGTATGCAGTTATAAATATATCCTATTTATTAGAAATTTTTTTTGTTTTTAATTATGTCACTTTCAGACAATGCACCTGGAATATGATCGTTTACAAGATGATATGGAAAAACAGAAATTGGAAGTTAAAGAATTCGCCAAGGCTTTGGAACTTGCTGTAAATGAATCTGCAACCCTTAAAGTGCAACTGTTGGAATGTCAGGAAGAAAAAGAATGCAAATTAAAGGACTTGGAGGCATGTGTGAAGGATAAACAGAGACTGGAGTTAGCAAATAAGGAACTGTCATCACATATCCACTCCTTAAAAAAAGAAAAAGAAGCAGAGAATATAGCAAGGAAAGAAAATGAAAAAGAACTGAAGAGACTTGAGGAAGAATTAAAAGCAAGTGAGAAGAGGCTGACAGAAGAAGTTGACCACCATAAAAACACTCAGGAACAACTGGATGTTTCAAGACAGGAATGCAAGAAGCACAGTGTTCTTAGTCTGGAGATGGAGGATTATGAGGTATGATACATTTGGACTGTTTGTTACACTGGCTATTCAGTTACTTCATTTCTGGTGTTAACATAGCCTTGCATAAGATGTGGTAGAATTGTTGTGAAGAGTTAAACCAAGAGGGATGAGTAGAGTGGTTGTGGCCTGTTTCTAAATACTTCTCTTACATTCATAGTGATTGGGCAAAATCACAAAAACTGCAGACAAGATAGCTGTTTCTCAGCAAATATTTGAACAAGTTACTTTCTAAGATGCATTACTGAATCAACTACCAGGTAGTGGAACATGCTAATACAAAAATTTGCTAATACTAGGTCTATGAAGCGACTATCTTCAAAACTCATTTCCTTAATATCTGTATGTTTAATCATAACCTTCCATCAACTTCTCAGTATTCCAAATGACCGTTTTATATGTGTTTGTTTCTCATTGAAGGTCCCAGTGTGAAGGCCGGATTTTATGGCCCACCCCTTACACACACATACACATAGATTTTTCTTCCCCACCAAAATTTCATATGCATTCCAATCTCCATCATCCTGGTAACATGCCCAATTCATGTAACTTATATTTTATTCTCCAGACAGTATTGGGTGCTTCATAACTTGTACTCTTATCCAAGTATAATTAGAATGATCAAGTCAAGGAGGATGAGGTGGGCAGGTCATGTAGCACGAATGGGGGAGACAAGGAATGCGTATAGGATATTGGTGGGAAAGCCAGAAGGAAACAGACCACAGGGAAGACAAAGGCGTAGGTGGGTGGACAGTATTAGAATGGATCTTAGAGAGACAGGATGGGATGGTGTGGATTGGATAGATCTGGCTCAGGATAGGGATCAGTGGAGGGCTCGTGTGAACATGGTGATGAACCTTCGGGTTCCATAAAAGGCTGGGAAATTCTTGAGTAGCTGCAGAATTGGCGGCTCCTCAAGAAGGGCTCAGCTCCATGAGTAAGTAAGTAAGACAGTATCGGGTGACTAGTCTAAATCATGAAGTTTGTCATTTTGTAATAACCTAAACTGCTCACTTCATCCTCCATAGGAAATAACACACAAATTACAGGTATTCCCAGACATACTCTAATAGTTCTGTTCCCAAGAATGGGTGTGTAGTGTTTTTGTTACTCCTTTGGTTTTGCTGCCTTTAATTTTCATTGAAAAATATGTACTTCATATAACTTCACTCAAATTCGATTTAGCTCTGATTGCTGTCTGCTTCTTGCTGGTTTCTTGCATGGCAGACTCTTCAAACCTGATAATGTAGATAGTATGGTCCTCCGAAACACTGGTTGACTTTCACTGGATTACACGGTGTCACATCACAGAAGACAGAACTCTTTGTTTTCCTTGTATTCCTTGAAATATTGACCACATTGGAAAATATTCCAAATGAAAGTGGATATTAATGAAATCTGTAATTGGTCACCACTTTTTGTACAGTGAACCCTTTTTAAAGAAATCAATTTCGTTTTTAGCTTAATGTAAAATAGGTGTTGTATTGAACCAATACAAACCAACATTTAGTTGAATTAGCAACTTTCAATTTAAACCCTCCATAGTTTCAGAGGTAAAGCATAAGACATGACCTTCCCATTGTGTTCATTTTGTGTTCTTTTTCATAAGATTATCTACAAATTAAATGTTTCAGAATCAGGTAGGAATGATACTTTTCCTCTTGTTATCGTGTTATGTAACATTTGAACCTTTGCCCTTTGTTAAGAGATCAGTGGCTGATTTGACACAGCAGTTGGTATCACAAAAGTCAAAGGTGAAAGAACTGGACAGTCACTTAGAGACACAGCAGGATATTAATAGAGGACTTCAGGAACAGATTTCATTGTTGGAACAAAGAATACAGTCAGAAGAAGCTAGATCAAAGGAAGTCAAGGTTTGTTGCATGATAAATATTTTATTTCAGTCATTCATTGTAGTAAAACATGTGCACTTAGTGAAATTGTTGTACCTGTGCAGAAAATAAATTTTTGGAAACTGGATATTGCATTATGAATATATGTAATAGGAATGTTATGTATGATTTAGGAACAATTGAATGCATCAAGAAGAAGACTGTTGGAAGTTGAGGCTCTGGCACTTGAACGTGAAGCTATGATTTCTGAACTTTTGTCACAGATTGAACAGCATAAGGGTAAAAGTGAAAATCTTGTACTGCAGTTATCAGAACTGGCAGCTGAGAAGCAGAGGCTGGTTGAATGTGGACAGAATCAACAGGATAATCTTAACAGACAAGTATTTCTAAAAAAATATCTTTCTTACTTAATATATACATGTTGATATTAATTCAGCTCATGAGTGTTAAACTGTGTGGAATGTGGGCAGTGTCACTGACAGTTCATAGCTTTCTGCTGCTTTCACCTTCAGGGACAGGGTGTATAGAGAGAATGAGTTTCTTTGTACATCATGTCAGAGTCACAATATGTAATGTGTATAAAAATAATACAATGCTGGTTCCAAATTTGTGGTAATTTTATATTTTACACCTTCTTTTAACTTCTTCGTAAGCTACACACTCCTACCATATTATCCGATTTATAAATTGCAATGATCCAGCATTCTCTTGCAACAGAAGTATTGAGCTAATACAGAATACTAATGTTTAGATTCAGGTCTCTCTATCGCCATAACATTTGTATTTCCCCTGGCCTCCTGAAAACATTCACAATTAACACTTTGCGGACCGACAATTTAAATATTTAAATCACCCTGCGGACCAGCATTTTTATACCTACTACCCTAACTTGTACACTGTTCACTTTAAAAAATTAATATAAAATCTCCTAATTAATTTTATGAATTAAAATTTTTTTAAAACATTTACCAATGCTTCTAGAAGTGCTTGAGGGTGTGATATTTCTCGAAACATTCCCCTCTGTGAAGTGGCATTACACAAAACTTGCAAATGTAGGCAGTTCTACTCCTTTTCTTGTGAATTGCGCAAACACAGCATTGCCTAGAAGGCTGCTTCCCCTTGAAATGTTCACTCTTCACAATTTTCATGAGGGTATGTTTCCGCATATCACTCGAGAGTCGCCCAGGGGGGTCAAAATGAGGCCTGCGTGGGGTGGGGGTAGACGGCCCCGGTCGTAGTAAGACTGTGTCTGCCGCCACCGTGTGGTCTGTAGCCCAGGCTTTTACCACATTCAGCAGAAATTCCTTGTATTTCAATTTTGAATGAGGGTTTAGATTTTTGAAAACCAAAAATGAATTGAAAATGGCACAATTTATAAGCCACAGGGCAACTTTCTTTTTCCACTTTAGTGTTTTCCGAGGAAGAGAATAATAGGCCAAGTACTGATCGGCTCTGTCAACTCCCTTCATGAACATATTATACTCGGAAATGCAAACAGGCTTCTTTGCGTGTCCATGTCTCCTTTGAACATCAACCATTCTCAAATTGTGAATTGTGGAAATCATATTCACAACACGAGTATCCCTCCAGGACTGAAGAAGAATATCCCCCTTCCTCCTGAATGTAGTTTCACCACATTTCAGGGATTTACATTCCTCTTTCAGATCTGGAGGAAGGCCTCTGTTCACCCTAATTGTTCCACAAACACATACTTTTCTTGAAAATAGGCATTCTGCAGTTGCCACACTGTTATAATAATCGTCTTGATAAACATGGTAATTTTGATTAAGATAGGGTTCCAAAATGGAAAGAATAGTTTCTTGTAATTTCTTTCCTTCACCAGAATAAATTTCTAAATTTCCAATATAGCCTGAAGTGCTTTCAGTAACTACACGAACAAGTAGGCCATACTTTGTAAGTTTCCCAGGATTATATGTTCGCGTATGAAGCCTTCCCCTCCAAGGAATCACAGATTCGTCCAAAGACAGTTGTTGGTTTGGCTTATAAACTGTCTGAAATTTCTGAATGAAAAAGTTCAATAAGGGCTGAATTTTGAAAAGCCTGCTTGTTGATTGTGGTTGCAGTTCGTTATCATTGAAATGCAAACACCACCAAATTTGCTCAAATCTCCTCATTAGTTTGCTGAAAATTGGAATTTCTAAAAATTGATCTGTTGACCAATACTCTTTCAGATTATCCCTCCTTGTATGGCCCATTAGAAAGATAATTGCAAAAAATTTTCTCATTTCTGCTGAAGTGACATCCACCCACTTCAGCGCCTTATAACTTCTGTCATAATGTTCACGGTGTTGGAGATAGTATCTGTTAGTTTCCTGACATAGCATGTCAAAGAAACTATCTCCAAAAAACAGTTCCGCTACTTCAGACACTTGCGTTGGGTCTGATGGAATTTGCTTCAACCTTGGATTTCCAGTAAACTGTCCCAAAGCAGGTGTTTTGTCTACTTTTCCCCATGTGGCTGTCCCCGCAATGTTGCTACCTGCACATTCGTCGGAGCTACGGTCATTTTCACTTTCACTGTCTGTGGTCACAATTTTTTATTCGCCCCTGCCACACTCACTATCAGATTGTGAGTCGCTGTCACTAGCAGAAAGGGACGTCAGATAGCTCATCGGAGAAGAAGTCAGATATTTCTTGTTCTCCAAGAAATCGCTTGGGTGTCAACCGCTTTGGTCTTTGATCCATATTGAACTACTGACTGACAGCTTGCTACGTAAAGCTTGAAGAAATAAAGGCATTTGTTTTCCTTTGCAGGGGCATAGAGTTACAGCGAGGTATAGTAACTGATTGGTCAGCAGACATTCCAGAGCCTTATAACGCAGCTGCAAGCAGCTACGTGCTAGCTAGGTGGAGCCAGAGAGATGTATAGTGTGTTGCAACTTATCGTGTTCTAAAAACCTGTTAACACGCGAATGGTCTGCCATGTTTAAAAGTGAAAAACCTTTTAAAGGGTGTGCGGTCTGCAAAGTGTTAAGTAGAAACAAAAGAAAGTTTTTATTGAGTTTAGACTGCATTGAGGTCAAGTTTATTTTAATCTTTTAATGTATATTACAATACGAATTTAATGTATATATTACACAATTTCTGGATATTTAGTTTTCCTTTAATATTGCACCTGTTGTGTTACTGTCTCACCATCTGTAACCACTTATGCTCTGGTGATCAGTGCCTTTGTTCACTCATTACTTCACAGCATCACCACTGGTCACAGTACTGCATTTACTCACTTCATCTCCAGTCCGCTGCTCTGCATTGCACTGAATGGTGTTCAGCCGCTATGCACTCAACTGAAAACTAAAGTTTCAACTCTCCTCTGCATACGCCTTTTATAGGCACATTGCCCCAAAGGAACCCTCTTGAATGTGTGTGACAACCTTGTCTTCCTTATCAGCCAGTTGGTTTCCCCAAATATTCCAGAATTTCAAAGTGATGCATATGTAGGCTAAGCAATACAAGCCCTTGTGGTTCCTTACAGAATGGTGGTATAAGTATCTTGATAGAATGAGTTTCATGCAGGCCAGGTGATGGTCCCACCGTTCTTAGTTCTGCAACACTATGTAATAAAATGAAGTAGTGAAGTCTCAGAATTGTTTGTTTGTTCATTTACTGTAGGCTTATAGTTTTGACTTCTCATCAGTTTGAACAAATATCAATAAATAGTGAATAATGTGAACAGTGAATTTAATGTTTGTTTGCAGTAATGGATGAGGTCATTGTAGTCTTAATTATCCCTTCTTCTTAACACCCCTGTTAAGTACAGTCTTGTTAAAGAAGAAAAGTAATGTAAAAGTTAATTTTTATGTTTGGGTCTTTTGTGGTTAGCAGGTTTTATGTATTGTCGCGTATCGGGCGTATGTCGCGACAAATAACTTCACGCCGTATTTTATATAGCGAATTTTATTTCACATTCGCACTTACAATCACCCAAATTACAGATTTACGATTACTGCTATCTGCAGTATCACAATTAGTACACTCCAAATGCCACAATACAATTGACTGGTTGCTGGCTAACTCGGAACTAACTCGGAGGTAGCTCGAGGACTCACTCGGTGGTAGCTCCAGGACTCACTGACTGACTCAGTACAACTGACTGTGAATAGCCTTCGCTGCTCCTTATGTAGCCTTGATCGGACAATACGGAAAACGGCCACGTAATAGGCACCCTTGTTGCCTGGCGCTGTGTTGCTAGTAACCGCTGTTACTACTGTAACAATCCTGTTGCGTCACCGTTACGTTACCGTGCGGAGGAGGGGGAGGGGAGCGCTGACTCACCTGTCGCGTCACTGCTGGTGGGGGGGTTCTCCTTTGCGCAACATGTCACAGTATTTTCTGTTATATAGCATACACAGGTTTATTGTTCTCTTGTGTCATTTATTTATGTCTCCTGTTTCATAGGTACATGTACTAGAACAACATGTGTCTCGATTGAAAGAAAATTTGGTAGAACGTGAAGCAGAGTTAGGAGACCTAAGGGCTGAATTTACAAATTACAAGGTCAGAGCACAGAGTGTGCTTCGACAGAAAGCTCGTCCAGATGATGGATCATCAAGTTTGAGTCGAGAGGATCACACAGAAGAAGTGGCGCAGCTGAAGCAAACAGCAGAAATTCTGAAAAGTAAACTGGAAGATGTAAGGTAAACACTTGCCTTAAATTTTTTTAACACTTTGCCATGACTTTTGAGTGCATCATGGCAATGAATTTAATCCTCTTCTTGCCACAACACTTCAAAAACCTCTGCCTAATTTGTTGTTCCTGATCTTAGTGCTGAAAAGCATTTATGTCTTCTCCCACCCTCTCTCCTTTTATTTTACAATTTTGTTAGTACTTCATGTCATATAGCATTGAATGGTAGGATGATTGATAATTAAAGAACAAGAAAAAGTTTCAAAGAAAGTGGACATGGTCTAATTGACATCTGTCTTGGCATTTTCATGAGGTTTCTGAGGAAAACCTCAGTCAGGACAGCCAGTGTCCCAGTCAACATTCAAATTGTGCACCTCCAAAATACATGTTTAGGGCATTATGACTACACCATCCTGCTCACCATCTTCGTCTGCCTATTGAAGGTTCATCACTATGTCTGGAAGCACCCACCATGGATCCTGTCATGAGTCTCTTTCAGTCCATCCCCTCATGTCTGTTCCTTTTAGATATATTGTCACATATTGGGGTGACTACAGACAAGTTTTTGGATTGGTTATTGGATTTATTGACCACTTATACCCACAACTTGGAACTACAAGTAATTACAGTGTTGTTGCTAATCTCCTTTGCAAATCACTAGAGCACACACTGAAAGTCTTTTCCAACCTGCAGTGTCTTCATTAATGGTTTCTTGGTAATGGTTTCTAAAGCAGGGAATCTTCAGTTTCTGTGCTCATGCTATTGCCGGCTGTCTACTCTCCCACAAACTGAACTGTGCTCCAAACTGTCCTGCTTATAACACTTCAGCACAGACCATGTAGAAACACCCTGCTTTCATTGTTGTAGTCCAACTGTTGCATTGTTAAGAATCTGCTGCCTAGCATTGGGTACATGTTTACTGAGCCATTTTTCAGAAGCAATTGCTGTTTACAGAGTCACTACTTAGCAACAGGTCTATAGGCCATGATATTTTAATATTCTCCTCCCATCTACAGCTTGGTGTTCAGACTAGTTTTTCACAAAAATTTAATTTGCATTTTTCTCCTTTCTTCCTTGTGTTATGCGCTCCATTTTTATCATCTTCAGTGATATCTTCATGCTTGTAATGCAGGAAGTTGCGTTGCTTCCAAAAATGACTTTGCCTGCATTTTTCTTTTGAGCAGAAATAGTAGCATTGTTAGCCAATGAATTTTTGTCTGCAGTTCTGAATTGTGAGAATGTGTGGAACTTTTTTCTGTTCCTCCTTTATGAAAAGAATTAGTACTGAGACACACCAATGGGAATGATCAAAAGTTGCTTACATATACTTCCTCAATGGTTGTGCACTGGGCAGTAGGAGAGCCAGGTCAAGCTGGATGGTCCACACTCTCCCTTTTGTACGTGGTCCACCATTGCTTAGCTTGGCCATGTCAGGATACAGGTGCATCTTGATAGCCATGTTTCCTCCCTAACTTAGTTACCAAAATTTGTCAATGTAGGCATGTGATTTTAAATTACCATTATTTAAGTACGAGTAATATTTGAGGTTTTCATGGTGGTGACTATGAAGGAAGCAGTTTTCTGGGATGTGGCACCATGTAGATATTGCATTAACCGACATTTTGGAGGAATGTATCGCCTCCATCTTCAGGGTAGCGGAAAAAAGAAGAAAATTCACGAGCAAGGAACCAGCGTGAGAAGGTGCTGGTTTCTTGCTCGTGAATTTTCTTCTTTTTTCTGCTACCCTGAAGATGGAGGCGATACATTCCTCCAAAATGTCGGTTAACGCAATATCTACATGGCGCCACATCCAAGAAGACTGCTTTCTACCATTATTTAAGATTAAATAATGAACAATTCCACACATGTTTTATTCTGAGTGACCTGTGACAAATTAATTGCATAACATTCTCATTGTTATGAGTCATTGGCATAGAAGAATGAAGGCAAACCAAGCTGAACAGCACCAACACTTTAACTGGGTGCTTGTGAAATCCTTAGAGTTGCTTGAAGGTAGGATATTTGCTTGTTGAGTTACTGTACTGAAAGATGTTGAGATAATTTTCTACCCCTTTATATTCATTGTCAATAGTTGTAGTACAGTGAAGTATCAGTAAAATTAATGTTGATTTTATGAGCATTTCAATTATAGAAAGTATTTTTCACTTCTGATTCAGCTGTCTGTATAAATTACCAATTTAAAAGAATAAAAGTTGAGTTCCTTTGATGGATATTCATGGTCATTGTAATCAAATCAGAATATGGATATTATTCAAGAAAACATTAAATGTTGCTGATGTGATGCCTGAGAATTCTGAAATGTGTGAATCTACTTTGCATTCGATGAGAAATCAGGGGAACAGAACTAATGTTAAGTTCTCATATTCAGAGAACTATCAGAACTGTAATTGTAATGTATAAAATTGTTTCATTCCAGGATGAAACAGAGAAACAAAATAAGAACGGTACCAGTGTATAGTATAGTAATAATGTAAACAGAAAGACATACTGTTTGCCCAGTACAGATCAGTATTTAATTTCATATTCTGGAGAAAATAAATTTAGCTATAATCTGGCTGCTTGAAGCATACACGTGGCAAGACATACAAAAAACTTGTTTACACTGTTTATAAATGCATTTAAAAGTTGACAGTTTAAAAATGTCTTTATTTTTTAATTATTAGTATGCTCCATTTTTTGGTTTCATATAAATGTATATTTTCAGTTCCAAGTTGCAAAGCCTCATGGTAGAAAACAGTGCACTTCAAGAAGACCAAGCACGAGTATTACAAAGGTATCAGGAATTGTCAGATACAGTGCAGGATCTAAGAAATCAGAATTCACAACTCCATACACAGCTGCAGGAAGCCAAAATAGAGCATCGTGAAGCCTTGAGGAGTCAGAAACTACAGGCTGAAACTTTAAACCAGTGCTACAAGGTAATGCGGATCAAGTGAAATTTCCTATAACTTGTAATTACAATATGCTTTAGTTAAAGGTACTGTACCGATTCAGTCTTAACACATGTATAATACAGCAGCACTGATACATATAACTCTTGCAGTCCCCTGAGGTGTGAGATAGCCCTGACTAGGCAACTTATTGTCATAGCCTCGGTTAACATTTCGGAAACTTCAGTACTGAATTTCTATGAACATGTTCAAAAGGGCAGAATGTGATTATAAAGAAGTTCATCTCATATGTTGTTCTAAATATGTGTAATTTAGTGAAATGTTTATTTTCTGGAAATATTTCTAAATTCTAAAGCCAATTTTAACTAGTGTGATGGAAACTTTGGTCAGGAGCCCTCAGAAGTCAACACATTGTGAGTGCCGGGAATTACGGATGCTTCAGTCAAGTGTCTTTGTACAAAAGGATACTGGCTCCATGCCCTGTATATATATGTAGTTTTGTATTGGAAATATTTGTGTCATGTAGTGTGTCACCCGAAAACAAGACACTGTGTGATGATCTGAGCTCTTAACCTTTAACGTATGGACTTTTAAATTGCTGGGAACCCTCTGCGGCTGGAATTTAAATCACCCTAATTAATTAACATTGCAAACTTTCAATAAAAACTACATATTTTCCATTCTATGCAACATAGAAATACGAACTAAAAACAACCTGAAAGACAATAAAATTTTCTACATCTACACAAAAGAGCAATTTTTACAAACGAAAATTAACTGTGATTATTTTGTCATGACATGCAAAATATAATCTTTATTATATTATGAAATTCCAGAGGACTTACCTGTAGTTTTTTTTTTTTTCCCAATTTTGAGACTTGGTGATACTGTATAGTATCACACTATATACAACAATATTTTGTTCAAACTGTACGTGAGTTTGAACTGTGTCACTTCACAGTTTACGATACCTCACAGTCTGTCTCGCATGCCACTTCTCGAAGCAGTCCGTGACACACAGCGCAACATCACACTTTTTGCCATAGAAAATGGTGCTCCTGCTTTTCTTATTTAGTGAAACACACGAAAACGTCTGCATTTCTCTTTGGTTGGTCAGTGTTGTGAATATTTCACCTCCAGTCGACTCAGTTGGGCCCGAGATAACCTTGGCCTCCCCCGAGAAACGCCACTGACCGTGATATTCACCTTGTGTGATTGAAGAATCATCTTTGGGGGTAGGGGGCTTCCAGGAAAATTGAATAAACTATGTTGATTGACAAAGTGACACTCTCACCTGTTAGTAATACTTGCAAAATAGTGATACAAAGTAATTATAATACTAGTCAAAAAGATTGCCAGTCCGACATTGATATCAAAAGTCACAATGATGAAGATGCCCTTTACTCACAAAGTAATACTGGCTCAGTAGGTTTATACCTCTTCCAAGACACAAAATAAAAATGATATACAAAGAAATATATGACAGTCTGACACTGAC